GGATACAGATGAATGTCCATTTTGTATCTGTGTATTCAAAGTGGTTAGGATAGATATACAGTTACATTCTCTTAATGAATAGAGGGATTTGTTCTTTTTTGGGGGGGGCAGTTTAAAGCCTTTTATTTGGGGGAAGGGAGGGAGAGATGGCAGAGGAGAACATGGGATGTAGAGGGCAGTAAGACTGTTCCTCTGCAGGATGCTGTAGTGGGGGACGCATTCCTCACCCACGTCAGGCCTACAGAACACGGAGCATGCAGAGGATTGCTGGTGCAAACTGTAAAGCAATGGTAATCCACAGGACACTGTGTAGGATCTCAGGTAAGGGAAACTGAGGGGGGCAGGTGAGACGATGTGGGACTGTCTAATTGTCTCTCAGTTTATCTTTTTGCAAACCCCAAACTGCCTCCCTCAAAGATAAATTCAGTTTTTTGGAAGAGGCCAGGACACTGAATCCAAGGTGTGTTGAGCTACAGTTCCAGAGCTTTTTATTTATTTTTAAAATTTTGGAACAGTGTGTTAGTTGATACATTGTGTCAACTTGTCTGAATCAGCTCTGGCAGTTCTTGGAGTGGGTGCCCAGTCCTGCAGGTGGGCAGGGCCCAACCTGGGAGCTATAGCGGGATTTATTCTAATGGTGTTTGTAAATAGGATATCAAGTCTGCATCTTGTACAGCAATTAACCACTAGGAAGAATGTATGCAATGTGTTAATTATTGAAACTGTCCTACCAATTTGGTTTGAAACTGTCTCATTGCTATTTGTTTCTCAATAAAATTATGGAAAAAAAATAAAATAAAAAAGTAAATATGATGCCACTTTTCAAATATTGTCTGATTAGGTCATAAAATGATATGCTAAACATTGTCCTACGTTTATATACAGAGATCTGACATGGATCATATATGATATTCAATGATCAACAATTCTGAACAATTTGTCTCTCAGGGGTTTGACTTTAAGGACTCTATTTCAATATGTTTCTTACTCAAGTAAATTGGTTAGAGCTGAGTTCTCAAAAATCTGTCCAAACCACATTGTCTTTGTTTCCTGATTTAATGAGGACAGCTAAAATTTATCTGACTTTCTTGGTTGACACTGCACTTACTAACTTAGGTCTAATTTAACAACAAATTATTCATATCAGAAGGCACATATTGGTCTAGCCTCGTACAATATTCATAGACCTCATCAAATCTCTAGATTCTTCAATCCATTTGTTGAGACTATCCACCACAGACAACCACCTTTTTAACATCATGCATTTATGTATGCATATGCTTTTGAAATATGTTCCTTGTATTTTCATTCTAAAATGTCATGACTTTAGGAAATGATGTATTAGTAATGAAAATACTCATGTGATTTGGCATATTGAACTGGACAACATTATCAAAATGTATTTCACACTGAAGTAATATGTTGAAAGATGATTAACTAAACTTATGAATGATGATGGAAATTTTGTATACATTAAAATCAATTATGTGATTAAAAAAATACCTTTATGACTTTAGTACAGGGTCAACAGGGTGTACAAGGTCTCACTACTAGATTGGACGCATAGTAATCTGCCTGTTTACAGCCTCCCAAGGGCTGGGATTACAGGAGCGTGCCACCACACCCAATCTCAGTTGCTGTGTCAGTGTGCCCCGGGGGCGGGGCTGGCACAGCAAGCCGGGGATCAAACCCCAGCCAAGTGGCTGTTGCACTTTGCTGAAGCAGGCACTTTGACCTCCTCTGCTCCCAGTCCAGGACTCAAATATCAGTGCACTGCATTTGGTGATTAGGTAAAACTTTTAAAAAGCCCATTGCATGGCCTATTTTTCCATGACACTTTCACCTCCAATTCTGGTTTTACCTGATGTTTTCCTTGAACATATGCTTATTTTCTTTTAAGTGGGGATTGAACTCAGGACTTTGGGCTTGCCACACAGGCATTTATGCTGCTGAACTATCTCCCTGGCCAATGATACTGTTAAATGTGTTTCAAGTGCCTCCTTTTTCCTCTGAACTGAAAGTTAGGTCTAGAAGACTTAAATTAGATGAATTGTTACTGACATGATATGCATGATGAGGCAGCGGTGCTTGTGTGTAATGCCATATGTTAATTCTGATTATTGGTTATGGTGGCAACTTATTTCCTATAGAAGATAATATTTTCTTCTTGGTAATCAGTAACTAATCTCTGAAGAAACCTATTCTGAAAACTACTTCTACGTCTCACTTTTTTTTTTTTTGTATTTTAGGGAAGGGTCTACAGGGTGTTTAGGGTCTCACTACTAGATCAGACTTGTAGTGATCTGCTGCTCAAGAGCTGGGATTATAGGCATGTGCCACCATGCCCAGTCTCTACTGACATCTCAAGGCGCCCCAGGGGTGGGGTTGGCACGGCAGGCCCAGGGATCAAATCCCCGGCCTGTGTATCTGCTTGCAGGCACTTTATTTTTTTTTTTATTTTTATTTATTTTATTTTATTTTATTGCAGAACCGGGGATTGAACTCAGGTCCTTGCGCTTGCCAGGGAAGCACTTATTCCACTGAGCCATCTCCCCGGCCCCTTTGCAGGCACTTTAATCTGTTGAGCTATTTGGCTGGCCCGTCACACTCTTTTTTTTTTTTTTTTTTAATTCAAAGATTTCATTTGTTTTCAATATGGCAAGCATTCTATATTTAAAGACCTCATTCTGTATGTGGTAGTGCATGCCTATGATCCTAGCACTTGAGAGGCTGAGGCAGGAGCACCATGGTAAGCTTGAGGCCAGCCTGGGATAGACAGTAAGTTCAAGCCAACCTAAACTACACAGTGAGATCTGTCTCAAAACGAACAACTCACCCCTCCAAATCCTCAGTGAAGGGTGATCAGGAAGTGCATGAGTCACCCTCATATTGACATTCATTTTTACTTACACTTTTGGCTTTCTCTAAGTATTTTTTATAACGTTCCTCCATTTGCTTCATCTCCTCTTCCTTCTTTCGTAAAGCTTCTTGTAATTCTTCAATTTTTAAGGCTACAGACAGGAGATAGTAAAAGAGAATTTTTATATTTTAATAACTTAAAACTGTATTAATTTAAAAAATTAATAATGAACAGAATTGAGAGACTGTTTAGCCTATTACTATACATTTTTTAAAAACACCAATTCAAAAAATTGTTTTTACAAAAAGCTTTTCTTTAATAAACAAGAATCCAGTATAGAACAGTATAAGTTTACAATAATTCCACTGATGTACAAAAAAATGCAGTATACTCATACAATGTAATGTTACACATTCAATTTTGATACATGCTAAAACATGGAACAAAATGCTAAGTAAAAATAAAAGACATTATGCTAAGGCAAATATGGAAGCAAAAAAAAGATTACTTTATGGTTGTACTTATGAAAAAATTTTAGAAATAGGCAGTGGTGATGGCTGCATAATACTGTAAATGGACTTAACAATACTGGACAGTACACTTAAGGTGGTTTAAGTCTTACATTTATTTTACAACAATTTTAAAAAGTAGGGCTGGGAGTGAATTTACAGTAATAAAGGACTTGCCTAGCATTGTGAAGCCTTAGCTTTGATTCTATAAAAAATGTTTAAGAAAGTTTGCCTCTCATCTATATAAAAGAACAAGGCCATATCTATAGATGTAAATGTAAACAGATGTGTAAGTTTAGATAACTTACATTAGAATTGGCAGTTAAGAAAAATTCTGAAGTATAACCAGTTTAACTAGTAATTTAAGATAAAAGAATATGCTTTGTTAACAAGGCAAATTCTTCAATTTCTGGCATAGTTAAAAGGGCCTATTTCTATATAAATCATTACCTCAATGTAGTGTATGGTTAACTCAAACCTAAGAGTACTTAGAAAAAACTCACAGCTGTTGTTAAATCTGGGCTCAAGGTCTTCAATAATGGCTCTTTTCTTCTGCAGCTCGTTATTGGCTTCATGCAGCTTTTCTCTGTAGCAAAATACAGGACACTGTATCACAACTATTTGTGTATCTTGATTCTACTTCAAATTAAATATTTGCATGTGTAAGACACATACAAGTATTGCACGACAAAATATTTTGTCTGAAACAATAAGGTATCTTTATTGAAGAGGGCACAATTTTGTTATGTTTTGCAATACGGGTTTACAAAAGTTAAATTTTAAACTCTGCAGAGGTTTTATTTTTTTTAAACTTTGCAGAGGTTTTACATTATAAACTCTTATTGTAGAAAAATAAAGGTTAATGGAAAGAACACACCAACAAGAGTGGAATGATGATACATATAATTACATAAATAGATCTCACAGAGTAATACTGAATAAAGGAAGTCAAGGGTAATATTGTATGATTCTAGTTATAAGAAGTTCTGAGGTGCCAAAATGAATGACAGGTGATAAAGATCAGCACTGTGGTAAATTTGGAGACAAAGTCTATCAAATGAGACAGAGAATTAAAAATTCTTTTGGGCTGTTAGAAGTACTCTGAATGTTGACCCAAACTGCTTATGTATGTAGGTAAACACTTAAAAAAGCAAACATTCATTAAGCCCCTATATATAAGAACTTGAGATGTATACATGCCCTCTCTCCCTATGTGTGTGTATGTATACACACAACACATACACATAAACTATAATTCAATATGAAAAAATTAACAGAGAGCCTTATTTCTTTGTATTTGCATAGTATGTGTAATTGTCCCTTGATAGTATTAACTGTGGCACTATGATAGGAAAGAAGTTGTAGAAACTGGAAGACACAGAAGAACATTAACAACAACAAAAAGAGCATTAATAAAAATGGAACACTTTATGTCTATTTCTAATTTTTTCCATGTATAATGCCAAAATAAAGCCTTTTTTCCAATATATTTTGAAAATATGATAAACATTTAAAAATGATAACCCAGGTGAATCACCAGATTAAAGAACAGAATTCATCTAAAATCTTAGAAATTGTGTCTCTATCTCCATTGTAGAAATAGCCAAGTCCAGAATTTTAGTCATTCTCAGGATTGTATTTTATTGTTATTTCTAAGGACTGCTTAATTTTGCTGTTTTTAAACTTTCCATATAACTATTTATTGTTCTGATTTATACCTTTTGCTAAACATTATATTGTTGACATTCATCTAAATTGATGTCAGCCTAATTCTCACGTGTCTTTTAATGGCCATATAGTACTGTACTGTTTGAACAAACATTCTATCATTTTCCAATTGGTGGACATATGTATTATTGCTACCCTTCTCTGATCATAAACAACACTCTTTCATACTTTCTTCCATATGTCTCTTGGTGCACATGGACAATAGCTCTAAGAATCCTGGGAATATACAGCAGCACTATGATTTCAAATAGGCAGAGAGCTGGGTGTGGCGCCACATGCTTGTAATCCTAATACTCTGGAGACTGAGGCAGGAGGAGCATTTCAAATTAAGGTCAGCATGGGCTACACAGTGAATCCAGGCCAGCCTGAATTACATAGCAAGACTCTGTCTCAAAACATAAAAAAAGGAAACAAAAAACAAAAGCAAAAAATAGGCAGATTCTAAAGTTTACTAAGTTAATGATATTTAACCTCCTACCAGAACTGAATGAGAATTATCACTGTTTAACATCTTTAGCAGCACATACTGTCTGATTTTTACAGTTTTAACTGATTTGATATGTTTAAAATGGTCTCCACTATATAGTGAGATTCAACATTTTTTTAAGGCAGGTAGAAGCCATTTGGTGTGTTGAATTGTGTCTTCCAAAAAGATAACCTGAAAAGCCAAGAATGGTAGCTCACATTTATAGTCTCAGCTCTCAGGAGGCTGAGCAAAGAGCAGTTTTAAGTTCAAGGGCAGTCCGGGATACATGGTAAATTAAAGGCCAGATTGAACTATACAACGAACCCTGTCTCAAAAACAATATAAAAACCGAAGTAAAAAAAGAGGAAACATCCTAAAAGACAAGCTAAGCTTCTAACCTCTAGTAGTATGAATGTGCTAGTATGTGGAAATTAGGCCCTTGTAAATATAATTAGCTAAGAGAAGTTCACACTGGATGAGGGTGGGCCCTATGTCCCGTACCTGGTATCCCTATAGGAAGGACATGTAAAGAAGCACAGTAGTGTCCTCTACTCTGTGGTTTTGTTTATCTAGGTCTCAGCTGTCTACAGTCAATTACAGTGTGGAAATATTAAATGTAAAATTTCAGATTAAAATAATTCATAACTTTTAAATTAACTTGTGTTCTCACAGGTGTGACAGAATCTTATTTGGTCCTGCTATGTAATGCCTGGCAAGTGAATTATCCCTTGGACCAAGATGCCCACACTGTATGTGCTACTTACCCATTAGTCACTCAGTAATCACTGTTACTAGATCAGTATATTGTTATATGTTTCTAGCTTATTGTTAGATAATGGTGTTAATCTCATATCAGGTCTAATTTATAAGTTAAGCTTTATGATATATATGTACGTACAAATGTAAATATGCAGAAATAGGAAAAATAGTATATAGAAGGCTCAGAGCTATCCACAGTGAGGCATGCATTAGAGGTCTTAGAACGAATCCTTACAGATGAGGGAGCTACTGTACTGAAAAAGGAATGCAGGTGAAGTTGGAAATAGACTGGGGTGACAAATATAGAGCCAATGGGATACCGCGGCCTGCTGACAGCCACCAGAAACGGAGGACAGTGTGGAACAGTCTTCCTCAAAACTTTTGGAAAAACCACCACTGATACCTTAATTTTACATTTTCAGCCCCCAGAACTGAGAAAATACATTTGTTTTTTTTTTTTTTTTTTAATTTTTTTTTATTTTTTTTTTTTGAGAGAGAGAGAGAGAGAGAGAGAGAGAGAGAGAGAGAGAGTGGTGTGTGTGTGTGGCCAGCTCAGCCCACCAGGGGGCGGGGCTGGCTGGCATGTGGTGCTGGGGGATTGAACCGCAGTCCCTGATGCTTTGCCAAGCTAGTTCCAAGTAGGTGCTTTAGACCACTGAGCCATCTCTCCAGCCCACATTTGTTGTTTTAATCCAACCAGATTATCTGTTATGGTACCTCTAAGAAAAAGAATACTGATTTCATCTTTACTAATAAATCCTTTCTATTAAGATTTGGATTTGGCAAAAACAAAACACTGGAAGAGCTAACCAAAATGAATGACAGATTTACCAAAGATATAGAATCTACGAAAAGGCATAAGACAAAAACACCAGTTACAAAAAATTCCTAATTTAGCAAAAATTGCAGTAAAGACCAATGTAAACAGTGGGTTTCTGAAACAGAGGACAAAATGGTAAATCGCAAAAAAATTATTCAGAGAAGCCTTAAAAACAGTAAAAGAATAAGAAAAATTCACCCAAAAGCTACTAGAATGACACAAATATCAACTTAAGGCTAACTGGAGTTAGAAACTAGAAGGCAGCACATGTGGAGAAAGAAAACTTGCTTACAGTACTCTAAACTACAAACAAAGGAAGAGTTCAACACACAAATAAGTGAGGCTTACAAACACGGACGAACTATGATGAAAAAGGCAAGTTCCCCCGAATATATTATAATTAAAGCTCCAAAGAGCCAACAAAAACCTAGAATTTTAAAAGCTGTAAGAGAAGCAAAAAACAGAGATACATCAATGTAAACTGACTAAAATTACAGCAGAATTCTCAACTTTAAAGGCCAAGAAGAGCTTACAGTGTTTTTTTTTTTTTTTTAGAATTGGGGATTGAATTCAGGCCCTTGCACTTGCCAGGGAAGCGCTTTTGTGAGCCATCTCCCTGGCCCAACAGTGGAATATTTTGAGCCCTAAAAACAAACAACTTCCAGCACTGATTAATACATCTCAAAATAGATGAAGAGGACCAGGAAGATACCTCAGCAGCATAAGTGCTTGCCTGGCAAGCGTAAGGTCCTGAGTTTGATCACCAGTACAAAACAAAACACAACACACAAAATAGATGGAGATATAAAAACATTCCATAAAAAAGCATAACTAAATAGATTTATGCACATCAAACCAGCATTCCAGAAAATTCTTTAAGAATATCCTAGAGACAACAAAGCCAAAAAAGTAAAAAAATCCAGATGAAATGAACATACCAAGGAAGGTGCAGATTTTTTAAAAATGGAAAGAGGAAGAAGGGGTTTCCAGAAAGAGCACAATGATAGCAATAAACGCGTTTTAGTAGTTACTCTCAGTGTTAATGGCCTTAATTCCCCAATTAAGAGACAGACTGGAAAACTGAATCAAAAGCAGAATCCAATAGCTTATTACATTCAAGAAACTCATATAATCAAAGAGAGATGGGTTCAATCCCTGGTAATGTTGTGCTGGCCCTGCCCCAGGGACGCTGAGCTGGCATCCAAGTCCAAGTGTGGTGGTGCATGCCTATAATCCCAGAGCTGGGCAGGCTGAAAACAGGAATATCACCGAGTCTGAGCTGTACCAAATACATTTAATAAAATCAAACCAAAACAAACATACAAACAAAAAAATCTGGAAGCTTTACTCAATCCTTAATACTCAATGAGTCACAGAAGAAATCAAGGAAGAAATTAATTTCTTGAATCAAAAAAGACAATGCCAGTATAACACACCAGAAACTATCAGACACAATGATAGCTTATTCAATCTGTACATTAGAAAAGAGTTCCAAAAATTACCAAGCAAGGAACCTGAATTTAGTTGAAAAACAACAATTCAAGCCCAAATGAAACTTGAGGAAAATCATAAATATCACAATAGAAATCAATGATTGAGACTAAAAAACAATACAAAGAATCAATGAATCCAATGAACCAGGAGCTGGTTCTTTGGAAGAATAAACAAAATAGATAAACCCTCAGCCAAAGTTACCAAATGAAAGAAAAAAGACTCATTAATGTTGGATTTACAAATGAAAAAGGTCAGTAACAATGGACACCACTAAATCCAACAAACAGTAACTTCTATACTACAACAAACCCTAACCTTCAAGAAGTTAAAATTCCATTTGACCCAGTTAGTCTCCTTCTAGGTATCTTTCCCAAAGAGCTAAAGACATATTATAGTAATACATGCATACTGGTATTTGTACTAGCATAATGCATCATAGCTAATTGCTGGACGCAGTCTGGATGTCCATCAACAGATGAATAGATAACAAAATTGTTGTATCTATCCATAATGGAATACGACTGGTATTCAGCTATAAAAGATAAATCTGAGGCATTTATAGAAAAATGGATGTACTTAGATAATATAATATTAAGTAAAATATATGTGACACACAAGCTTAAATGCTCTATGGTACCTCTCATTTTAGTATAAAAATGAGAAAACAGTTAAAAAAAATAAGCAAAATAAAGGAAGAAAAGAGAGATCTTTTGCAAATGGAAAAGGGTCAGAGAGATCAAGGGGAAGGGGAAGTGGTAGAAAAAGTAAGAAGATTTAAGATGTGTCATACACATTTAACAAATACTCTCAATGAATGTAAACATTCTATGTTGTAAACATGAACTAGAAATAACATAATGAAAATAGGGAAATGGGACCTAGAGGCAGAAGGAAGAAGGTAGACAGGAGGAGAAAGGGAATAAATAATCAATGTATTATGTACATGTACTGACTATCTAAAATTAATGTAAATTGTGTGTACTGTGAACAAAATAAAACTTAAAAAAGATTATAGGTGTGCACCATCATGTCCAGATTTGGTGGCAGGGCTGGTGGTGCTGGGGCTGGAACCCCAGTCCCTGTGTTTGCCTAAGCAGACACTTAGTCTACTGAGCTATCTCACCAGCCTCACATCACTTTTTATGTTTTATTTTTTTAAATGTATTTAGTATAGGGTCTACAGGGTCTTACAACACAGCTCGGACTTGTAATGATCTGTCTGTTTACAGCCTCCCAAGAGGTGGGATTACAGGGGCACACCACCATGCCCAGTCTCAGTGCACCCTGGGGGCGGCGCTGGCATGGCAGGCCTGGAGATCAAACCCCCAGGCCCTGTGCCTGCTTGCAGGCGCTTTAATCTGCTGAGCTATTTGGCCAGCCCTTCATTCTTAATAGTTAATGTGAGATAAAAATGAAGATTTCTTCTCACAAGAAAACAATTATTATTCTAGCTTCTGGATTACAAAATCTTATTTACATGTATTTGTAATTCAAGGAAATACTTTAAGATCTACTAATGAGAAAACTAGTAAGTTTACTTAAAAAGGAATATTCTGCTGGCCAAACTTTAGAGCTGAGAAATAATAGTCTACAGGCCATGTGGTTGTCTGTCTGTGTTCAAAACATATGGTAAATGTTTAAATTTTAAAAATTTGTTACAGGGGGCTGGGGAGATGGCTCAGTGGAATAAGCACTTGCCTTGCCAGCGCAAGGGCCTCAGTTCAATCCCTGGTCCCTGAAAAAAAAAAAAAAAAAAAAAAAAAAAAAATTTGTTACACTAAAAAAACACTGCCATTAATTTCCCTCAAAATATTCACTTGCTTTGAATACTTTTCCAATTGTTTTTGTCAGTCCCTGAGGTTTTAGAAGTCCTCTTTCATGTTTTTATGAATGAGTGCTGATGCCAAGTAACATCCTACAGAAAAACAGGCACATAGAAACATTACACTGTTTACTCATTGGTTTCAGCACTATGCAAATTTTGGTTCTTCCCCAGTCTAAATAATCACATTTTTTTTTTTTTTCAATGACCGTATTTTGAACTGATTCAGGACATCAAGATAGCCATAAGAATGTAACTAAAGATACTTGTGAAAAGGAACTTCCAAAACTGCTTCAGAAAGTGACAAGGACAATGGGATAAGTGGGTTGAAACCCTGGGGGAGTTTTTTAATGTCGATTAATGGCAATGTATCTTTTATTATAATAAAAATTTTGAAAAATATTTAAACATTAACTGTAGTTTTTAAAAATCACAGCATGCATATGAAGGGTTTGGGTTTTCTGTTTTACAGTAATTAAAGCCAGGCAATTGCACCAAGCTACAGCCCCAGCCTGTTTTTACTTTTTAGTCTTTGTAAATTGCTCATGCTGGGCTCAACCTCAGATCCTCCTGCTTTAGCTTCCCAGTGCTGGGATTAGAGGAATGCACCAACACACTCAGATTCTTTATATGTCTTTTTATTGGAGCATAGTCATGGCTACTAGATTAGTACTGTCCATGGCTAACTCAAGCTAGAATCTCAGAACTGAGTGGGTGTGATAGATACTAGAACCACAGAGCCTGAGTATTCACTCTCTGACCCTCAGATGACCCTTGCTGTGTGTCTCAAGCACTCAACTATGATAAAAACACTACCTCGAAGCCTGATGTCTTGTGGAAGATCAGTTCTAATGCTTTCACAGTCTGCCTTGATACTGTGGGTAGATGTAACCTGTGGACACTAACATATATTACAACTTTCTCTACCTTCTTTTCCTTGGTACCGGGGTCAAACTCAGCACTGTGCTCTTGCTAGTCAGGCACATATGCTACTGAGCTATCTCCCTGCCCCCTAACAACTTTCATCATCTTCAAGGACACCTGTGTCACTGTATAGACCCAGTAACCATCTGAAATATACACTCTTCTTTCACAATATAATGAGTCTCATGACTTTTATACTTACAGATGTTCTTCAAGCTTCTTTTTTAGAAGAACTGACTGAAAATGGAAAACAAAAGTTAGTTTATTACCTTCTTAATCAAACAACTTTTTAAAAATTAAAAATATAGAAATAACTGAGTCAGCTTTCCTTAATCTCTTTGGTCAAAGATCTCAAAACATGAAGCAATTATGTCTCTTCCTTTTAATGAAGGGAGACAGTAGCTAGCCTATGATTGGTAGCAATTAATATAAAATACCCAGAAACTACAGATTTTAATTTGCCATCTACAGTAGAAAAAATGAACTAAAAAAACCATAGTTCCAGACAATTTCTGCAATGGTAAGGGAACTAGAAAGGGTGTGAATAACATGCTCTGATTTTATTTTAATTTATTTTATTTTATTTTTTGGTGGAACTGGGGATTGAACTCAGACCCTTGCACTTGCCGGGGCATGCTCTGATTTTAATGCTGCATAAGGCAGGTGAGTTTTTTTTTTTTGTTGTTGTCTTCTGACAAAGAGTTTCACTATGTGTGTTCAGGCTGAACTTGAATTTGTGATGATCCTCCTACCTTGGCTTCCTGAGTGTTGGGATTATAGCATACAATACCATGCCTAGAAGGACAATGCAATTTTGACTATTCTTTAAAAAAGATCTCCTGAAAAGCAAAGGATCAAAACTAACCTAAAAATAAATAAAGGCATTCTAGATAGGAGCACTAAGTATCATAAACATTCCTAAAGGTACTTATTGATAGTGAATTTCATAAAACATTTCATTTTGAGTTAGTTATGTAATTGTTAGACTCAAATTAATATAGGCTTATAAAATAAATTGTGGACCTGAACAATAGTAGCAACAAGGAGGGAAAACTCCTAAGTGCTTTAATTTTTAGCTGCCTTATTTAATAATGATCTCTGTAAACTGTTTATTCATGTCTATTCTAACAAGTTTTGGAATAATTCAACTTTACTTCTTTGCTCAGTTTATTTCTAACTATAGTTTTATCAATGGACCATGATGTCCTCTATCACTGGTTCCTCCAAATATGGAAGAGATATTAGCTTTTGATTATTACTCTTAGTAGGAGGCAAAATGTAAATTCCTTTAAAGAAATGCCTAATTTTAATTTTATATTTATGCTTTTATTAGATTGTAGTAAAATCAACTCTAAAATAACATACACTTGAGTAAATGCTTACTATGTCAGAAGCTGCACTGAAGCATATCTTCTGTAAACACTGCAATATTGTAATATTAGCTCCAGCTTACAAATGAGGAAGGCAAGGCCAAACAATACTTAGAAGCTTTCACTGAAAAGAATTAAAAGTCAGGTGGTACCAGATTCCAAAGTCCACACACAACCTTTATCCTTCCAGTCTTTTTATGCTATAATGCCTCATTATTGTCAACATGTTTGGTAGGAGGAAGCTGGATTTGATAAGAACCAATGAGAATAATAAGCAGAGCAGGAGTGAGAGGGGAGGGGAATGACCAAGATTTATGTAGCTTGACTCTTTAAAACTCTGATATCCTTTAAGTGTCTTAATTACTCTGATATCCTTTAAGTATCTTAATTGTAAAGGGTAACATCCTATAAAGCAAGTAATATTATACATTCATTTTGCATACAATTTCCTTAAGATTTCAATATGATAATCTCTGATGTCAAATAATGTATAAATCTACAAATTCTTCGGGGCTGCCCCGTAGCTCAGTTCTTTAAGTGGCTGCTTCAACAAAGCAGCCAGGTTGCTGTGGTTCAATTCCCACAACTCAAGCCAGCCAAACCTGCCCTGAAGACATTGGGAGGAAAAAAAAAAAAAAAATCCTTCTACAAATTCTTTAATATATAGAAATAAAGAGAAAGCCATACTTACAATAGCCTTGAGCAGAAGCCATGCCAAGAGACAGAGAAGACATATTAGTATGAAGCAAATATAGCAGCCAACAGAAGGAATGATTTAGTAATTCATAAACTAGGAAGTAAAAGATATGCCTTTTTTTTTTCTTCCCCAGAAATGTACATTTTTCTTTCTTCTATGGTCTCATCTTGTCTTGTTTTCTAGAGTTTTATATACTGTGGCTAGCTCAAGTTATCCATATGACTGGATATAACAATGTTTTTCTGCTTCAATGCTAAAAACAAATGACATAAAAATAATAAAATTGGGCACATCATCCTACTCTGTCTGACTTAAGGTCATATGAAAGAACTCAGTTTTGTTTGTTTGTTTGTTTTATACAGGGTCTCATTATGTAGTTTAGGCTAGCCTTGAACTCCTGTGTATCCCAGGCTGGCCTTGAACTTGTGGTGATCCTCCTGCCTCAGCCTCCCTAGTGTTGGGATTACACAGATGTGTGCCACAGTGCCTGGTTGGTTGGACTTTTTGATAAAAGGCAGAAATTATGTTGCTGTTCTTTGGTGGGGACCAATTCCACCTGGCAGGTTGTACTGAGATACAACACTGTAGGTTAGTGAATAGAAAAGAAGAAAACATCAAAAGAAAGCAGCTGGAGTGGTGTTGGTGGTGGTGGTGAAAAGCACATTATTCTGTACTGTGTTATTTATTTCTCTTAAGCCATTTGCAGGGAGACTTTCAAAATAAAAAGGTTTTCATCTGCATCCTAGCTACATAACAGAAAAGAACTCAGAGGACCTTTCTGCATAATTCATAGGAAGACATATCACTTATATTTCATTAGTCAATAAATTGAGCAATTTAGGCAAATAGTATTTGATATGGCTGGTACCTCATTTCTGAAACATGTGCTCAAAGTAATAGCCACAGCATATTTAATTAAGTTTGCTATCTAACCAGGTACTTGCTTGCTTCATCTCTTCATTCATCGATCCATCCCATCCCCAGCGCATGTGCACTGAGCTATATATCCCCAGCCCATTTTTATTTTTATTTTCTGACAGTTCTTGGTAAGCCACTAAACTGACTAGGGTGGGCTCAAACTTGTGATATTCCTGCCTCAGCCTCCCAGAGTGCTGGGGTTATAGTCATGTACTACCATGCCTGACTGTGACAAATTATTTTTTAAAAACTTCTACGTTTTGGGAAATAGCTGACTAATACAGTTTTTACCTAGCATGTGTTCCCATCTGAATCCTAACACTATAAAAAACAAACAAGCAGATAATAAGTTCCTTTATGTTTTAAAACAAGAGAACCAAATACAACATTAAAGCATTCACAAAAGTCTCCTTAAAGTTTTAGAGATCAGAATATATTTTACTTCATCTCAGTTTAAGGGACCTAGAAATGTGAACAAATTAAATGTTACCTCTTATGGTGCATCTCTAAGAAAATTTTACTTAGACTTAACATTTTAGTGCACTCATAGTTGGTTTTGCTCCTTTGTGATTTAGTGTTTTTGATAAAACATACATTAAAAAAAACACTGAGCTGGGGATATGGCTTAGTGGTGGAGGGCTTGGTTTAATGTCAAGCACCAGAAAATGACAACAAATTCCCAAAAATAAGCAACAAAAAAAGCCTCTATAACCCCGTTTTGTTTTTTGTTTTTTTTTTTTTTTTGGTGGAACTGGGGATTGAACTCAGGCCTTTGCTCTTGCCAGGCAAGCACTTATTCTACTGAGCTATCTCCCCAGCCCCAACCCCGTTCTTTTAAATAAGGGTTTAAAAAATTAGAACAATGGTGCAATAACAAAATGTGGAAATCATTCTGGGACTCTAAAAGACTCCCAACACATTAATTAAAGGATGAACTAAAATCACCAATTAACAAGGCCACATTGCCAATATAAACTAAATGTATGGATGGAGCAAATGAAAAATTAGGTTCCTTATAAACTTTTTACATTTACTATTCAAGTTTTAAGTAATTAATTTCCCCTCTTTGGTCAATTTTACTTTGATACCTTCTTATATTAATAATACTGATGGATAAATAATTTTGAATTCGATCCCCAAAATGACTGTACCAGTGACACAGTCAAGTAGGTTTCTTTTCTTTTCTTTTTTTTCCCCATAATTTTATTGAGAAACAAATAGCAATGAGACAGTTTCAAACTAAATTGGTAGGGCCGGGGAGATGGCTCAGTAGAATAAATGCTTCCCTGGCAAGCGCAAGGACCTGAGTTCAATCCCTGGTTCTGAAAAAAAAATAAATAAAAATAAACTAAATTGGTAGGACAGTTTCAATAATTAACACATTGCATACATTCTTCCTAGTGGTTAACTGCGGTACAAAGATGCAGACTTGATATCCTATTTACAAACACCATTAGAACAAATCCCTCTAAAAAAAAAAAAAAGAACAAATCCCTCTATTCATTAAGAGAATGTAACTATATATCTATCCTAACCACTTTGAATACACAGATACAAAATGGACATTCATCTGTATCCCCTCAATTAGGTTTATTTTCAAAGAGACCACAAAATATTATACCACAATACGAACAACAAAAAAGCAAAGATTGGTCAATAAATTTTGTTTTTTTTTTCCCTCTTCATACTAAACATTTTCAAAATCATAGCTTTATATTGCACTAAGTGCAATATTCATGTGTCAAGAATTTGCCAACAATGACTTACACTGTTGCTACAGACCAATCACTACTGGATGTTCATTCAGCACTGTGATGGATGGTAGCATGCTGAACAGCAAAGACACTGCCCTTGGCTAAACACACATCATCCTTCAGTGGGAGTTGAAACTATGGAGGTAGAACTATGACAGAGATATGCAACATGAATAAAGGGACAAAAAACACTAGGTGTGAAGGTATATCCTCCTAATCCCAACTAGTCATGAGACAGAGACAAGAAAGTTCCAAGTTCCAGAACAGTGCTTGCTAGCATCCATGAGGCCCTGGGATTCTAGGGACAGCACCGTTTTCTTTGCCTTTCCCTTTTTCTTTTGTGGTACTGGACACTGAACCCAGGGATTATACACTAACCTACATTCCTAGCCTGTTTAAAAGTTTTTAAAATTTTGACACAGAGCTATTTTAAATCACCCAGGTTGGGCTCAAAGTTGCAATTTTCCTTCCTAAGCTTTCCACAGTACTACAATTACATACCTGCCTAGGATCATTTTCTCAAATAAGTTTACATTACAAAAAAAAAAAAAAAAAATCTCTATTTTGAACAAGCTGTTTTTCTTTTCCTTTTTGACCAGAGGGTGGAATGCCTACACATCACCCCTGACACTGAATCAGTCCGTTTAAAGCACAAAGCTTCAAATTAACTTTTTCTTAGTAAGCAGAAGAAATAGGTATCTATTCCTAGAGGAATGAATCTGAAAGGAGTAAAATACTGTCTGATTCTTTTTGTAAGAATGTTAGAAGGAAAACTTTTTTTTTTTGATAATTAGTATAATGCTATTTATTTTGATAAAGAATATCAAAAATATGTATCTTTTCTCAAAACTATGTAACTTTTGGACCATGGTTGGTACATATTAACTTACATCTTCTGCTTTGGAGCCTTGATCCTGTAAAGATTTCTGTAGTTCTTCAACTTGTGACTGTACTTCTAAAAGTCTTTGATTCACCAGCCTAAAAATGAAATGTAAATTAATTTTTAAGCATAGACTCACATCTTTATTTTTAGTTGTCATATTGGTTACACAGTAAATATCATTCATTCACAGACTATAGCTCACATTATAGTAATACTATATACTAGCAGTAGTAAAGTAGGAATCTCACATTGTAAGCAAGCTTACTTTTCATTTTTTTTTTATTTTCTGAACTTTTTTTGTTTTTGGCCCACTCAGCCTGCCTGAGGGTAGGACTGGTGTGGCATGTGGTGCTGGGGATCAAACAGCAGTCCTCTGTGCCCGCCTAAGCTTGCCTAGGCAGGTGCTTCAGACTGCTGAGCTATCTCTCTGGCCCCTCTTCCCCCCCCCCCACCAAACACAAACCTATTTTAAGTTGCATTAAAAAACTTCACAAAACCTAGTACCAAGAAGTAAATATAGGTAAATAAAAAAGAACATACTGGAAGGGCATTTTAAGTTTACCACAACTTATGGTTCCCCAAGTATTACAGCAGTGAGGCAATCTGTCTGAAGTACATGTCTGGTCTGTCACTGGAGTGGGGGCCCCAGTGCCAGCTGTTATGAAAACACAAGACCTAGTCTGCCCCTTAGCATGTTGCAATTTGATGAAGACAGAACTCCAGCTAACAAAATGGCTATCGCTTCTGCTGCTCACTTCTGAGCTCTCTTGAGTTTACTTCTATGGTGGCCAATGTGGACGTTCTCACTGGGTATGGCACCTTGGGCATGTGGCCTGGCCTCTCTCAGCCTGTTCCTCAGCTAGAAAGTTTGATGGAAGTACGTTGGTGTTTCCTGAGGAGCTTAATATTTCTAATGAGGATTTCTAAAATAGTATTTTCTTAGAAGCATTTTTTTTTAAACCAATGTATCATTCATTTAACTGAAATTCACACTGATATGTTTATGCAACTTATGTCTGGCACTGTGTAATCCAGTCCAGTGGAGAGGCAGAAGGTCAAGAAGAGAACACAATGAGTTTATTACTTCAGGAGGATGTACTGACTGGGATATACAAAATTAATAATCACTGGTTAAGAACTCAGCTCAGAGGGCATGTAAGATAGCTCAGTGGACTAAGCGCCTGCTTAGGCAAACACAGGGACCGGGGTTCGATCCTTGGCCCCACATGCCATGCCAGCCTCAACCGCAGGTGTGCCAAGCTGGTCACCGACACTGGGTATGGTGGTGCAGGCATGTAATCCCAGCACTGGGGAGGCTGAAAACAAGTGGATCACTCTGAGTCCAAGCTGCGTAGTGAGTTTCTATACCAAATACATTTTAAAAAAAGGAAGAAAAAGAACTCAGCTCAGGAGTTAAGACAGGCATAGTTTGAAGGCAGACTAATACAAAACAAACAAAAACTTACGTGGTAAAGGGTAGAGAAGGGATTCAAAACAGTTAAGTACGTCCAAAAATGCACATAAAATGAGGGTACAGCGTCTAGAACAGTAAGCCTAAAGAATAGTCCTGAGGGGAGGTCTGACACTAGAAGAGAAAAGGAGTAGATCTCCCTGGATCTGCTCCATTTGTACTTGAAATGCCAGATATCTAGAATTTATTCTCTCATCAGTAATCCTCTAAATTGGCTGCAACTGAACTAAAACAGAACAAACTTTAATAATTATGACTCCAATCTTCATAATTTCTCTGGCTCATTATGATGCATGCTTCAGTAACACAGTTTGATTCTCTAGTCCAAGAAAGAAAGAAATACGATCATGAAGTATTTTTAAAAGAAAACAATGGTTTTAGAGTGGAAGATGTTATTAAAAAGAGCAGGCATAAATATTGGGAGAAGAATGTTGTAATTATTATTACTGAATATATCTAGATTATAAGGGAACATATACAGTTTTAAGAAAAGGCAAAAGAAAGCAACTAATAAAATACAGCACGGGTTTGGGTATTCACTAAGAAAGACAAAAGAAACGGGTTAAGAAAGTGAATATAAAATATCTGAAAGGGCTCAAAAGTCTGTCAAATAAGGAAATGTCTGAACTTGAAGCACAGAATGTCGGAATTGAGCATATATATATATATATACCTTTTTTTTTTTTGTATTTTAGGACAGGGTCTACAGGGTCTCACTGTGTAGACTGGACACGTAGTGATCCTCCTGTTTATAGTCTCCCATGTGCTGGGACCACAGGCGTGCACCACCATGCTCAGTCTCAATCGCAGTCTCAGCATGCCCTCGTGGCGGGGCTGGTATGGCAGGCCTGGAGATAGAACTCCCAGCCCCTGTATATGCCTAAGCAGGCACTTTAATCCACTGAGCTATTTGGCCGAACTTGGGAACCATTAAGAGTTAACTGAAGTCATGAGCATAAATGATACTATCTACAAAGAATGTGAAAGAGTAGAAATGAGGAACAGATGGCTCATGACAGATCCTTAAGGGAAGAGAAACCTCACTATGAAGAAAAATCAGAGAATTAGAGGAAATACAGTGGAATATTTAGAAAAGATAATCTTGAACATCTCACTGCACTGGATGTTTAAGAGATGATAGGATGGTAGTAGTAAAAGCCATATTATCCCAAATTAAGGATAAAAAGGCACTGAGTATCAGAATCCAAACAACCAGAAAGTTCTGTAATATTTTTTTAACTCAACAAGTTTTAATAAACTTTTGAAAATCCACATTAGTATGGGGAGAAAGGGTCACAAATATATTCTACAGACACTAACTTTGTTCAGAAAACAATTTGGAAATACGCATCAAGCTCTAAGACTATTATAACTGTATATCTTTGCTTCTTTGAGATTATCTTGTCAGCTAACACTGTAAGTCTACAACATAGAACCCCACTATAAATATAAAACACAGTCTACATCAAGTACCACTTGGAGCATTTGAAAACAATGCAAATGCCTACCAATGGGGTGGGACAAGTAAGCAAAGTAATGTAACTGCTGACCTGTGATGCATGTGGGCAATGCAAATATGCACAAATACACATTACACTCTGCAAAGTAAGACCACAAGATCCTGTATCCTCTGAGACAGCTTCCTGGGTAATGCTGACATGGCTGCAGTTTGATGCTTTGTTGATCTCCTCATATTTTCTGAACATTTAGTACTACAGAATATAAAACATACTAACTCAATGGGAAGACTAACCAGAAAAGAATTTGGTCCACTACAAAATGCTTTTGGAGGCGGAGGCAGAGGGGGAGTGGGGAGAAAGGAGAAGGAGGAGAAGGAAGAGGAAGAGGAGGAGGAGGAAGAGGAAGAGGAGGAAGAGGAGGAGGAGGAGGAGGAGGAGGAGGAGGAGAGCTTTTTAACAGATGATATTGAATGATAAATTGATTTAAGGTTAAAAAAACTCAGTTTTTAAACTAAAACTTAGGGTTCCTGGTACTGAGTTCAGTGCCATAATCTATTAAAAAACTAACTTAGAGATGAGGTAAGTACTCCTAAAATGCAGGAAGAACAAATGTATGATAATTCACTTAATAGAAAAAACATCCTATGAGAGGAAATCAGAAAAAAGTTTTTTTGCAAACACAGTAGAAGATAAACTGGCAAGACGGGGTATGGATTAGATATAGAGACTTTGCAGTCACAGTCTGAATCCTCTCATCTGTAAAACTTCCATAAATGTGAGACAAAATATTTAAAACATACAGTACAATGTCTAGAACAAACAGATGCTTAGTAAATGTTGGGAGCTACTATAATCATAGGTGAGAGGGCAGGATGAGGCCTCACTGCCTAAAGCAATCAAGCTACCTCAGTTTTGAGAAAAACACTTTCAGACATTGTGGGTTATTAGTCGTTAGGCAACTTTGTCTCACAACTTGTAAAGGTATATATATACACCCCTACTGTTGTTTGATGTTCCTTTGCCAATCAGGCATGGTCTACAATCTAACCTCAGCTATTATCTCATCTTTATTTTCTAAATCCTCTCATTGTTTTCTCCCAGGGACCACCGAGAGACCAATGGATCCTTACAAATAAGTATTAACTGTTATAGATTACTGATGGTCGTAATCTACAGGTCACTTGTCATCAATGTTGCAATCAAGAAACAAATACCATTAAGTTGTAAACAGCTGTAAATAACGTAGTGTTTTGGAAAGTAACTGGTCATCTACACCCATGGACACAGTATAAACAGTAAGTAGCTCTCTTGTTTCCTATGAGGAAAGAGCCATGATTGGAAAACTCACAAGAAACAATGCAAAGCACTGTGAAAGAAATTATGGGTGTTTATTAGGGTAGGGGAAAGTGTTCTTACCATGATGGCTCAGGATTACTAATGCAGACACAAGACTCATCAACTATAGGCACAGAGTAATCACCAGCTGTACTCTCCCAACTTCCTCTACTTTCTCCATTTCTATTTTTTCTAAATAATAAAGACACTTATTCTCTGTGTTCCTAAGAGTTTACTTAAAAATGTTTTCCTGCTTAGGCTTACCATTGCTTTTATAATACTCTAGCATTTATACAAGCTTACTTGTTCCTTACTCTTCCTGACCAGTTTTAACATTTAAAACCATAGAAAGGTAAAATATGTAAAACTTGTAATTTTGACTCCTAAAAACAACTCCAAAGTCTCTATCTGGGAAATGACAAATCAGTGAGGCACAGAAAACATTGTAGTAAAAAGAAACTGTAGTATAGGCAACTATGAAACTATTAATAAAAATATCAAATTCCATAAAAAGGCATCATGCATCACAGCAATAAGAAAAATTTCCACAAAGGAACCAAAACAGTATTACTACAAAAGAGAACAGTAATTCTTGTCTTAAGAAGCTATAGATGGGCCGGACAGATAGCTCAGCAGATTAAAGCACCTGCTTAGGCAGATCCTAGGCACGCTGCACAGGACCTGCCCCCAGGCTATGCTGAAATGGCAATTGAGACTAGGTCTGGTGGTGCAAGCCTGTAATCTCCATGCTTCAGAGGCTGAAAGCAGGAGGATCACCATGAGTCCAATCTGTGTAGTGAGATCCCCTAGACCCTGTACTAAAAACACTAAAAAACAAAAAGAAGCAACAGACTTGGAAGCAACTGATTTGTAGCAGGCTATTAAACCAACATAAAAATAAGTAGCACTCCTGTACACCAATAATGAAATTATTGAGAAAGAAATTAGGAAAACAATTCCACCCATGACAGATTTAAAAAAAAAAAAAAAAAGAAAAAGAAAAAGAAAAAACCTGAAGAGGTCATTAGAAAATAGAAAAATATCTCCTTTTGCTGAATAGAAACAACCAATATTGTCAAAATGGCCATATTACCAAAGCATCTACAGATTTAATGTCGTCCATATTAAAATGACAACATCTGGGGCTGGTGAGATGGCTCAGTGGTCTAAAGCACCTACTTAGAACAAGCTTAGCAAAGCACAGGGACCACGGTTCAATCCCCCAGCACCATATGCCAGCCAGCCCCGCCCCCTGGTGGGCTGAGCTGGCCACACAAACACACATAAATAAAATTTTTTTTTAAAAAAGTAAAAAAAATAAAAAATAAAAAATAAATAAAATGACAACATCTTTCACAAAACAAGAAGATTCCCATGGCTTATATGGAACTGGAAGAGACCCATTATAGCTGAAGCAACCCTGAGACCAACTAAATACAACATAAGGCACAGAAACAATCGCAAGTAGTGTCAGCCATCTGATTTTTGACAATGGAGACAAAAACATGTTGTAGAAAAAATAATTCCATTAAAAAAAATTCTAAAGCAATTGCATGGGGAAAACTGATTATGTATGTGCAAAACACTGAAACGAGATCCTTATTTTCTACCTACTACTAAAATCAAATCAAAATGTGTTGAAGATTCCACACATAAAAAACAGAAATGTTGAAACAAATGGAAAATAATATGAGGAAACAGCTGAAACCACAGGCACAGGACACTAATACCATAGGACATATTGTGAATCAACTAAATGCATTATACTAAATTAAAAAGCTTTCTTTTGCACAGCAAACAAAACAACCAAGAGAGTGAAGAGACAACCTACGGAATACAAAAAATTTATTGTTGGGCATTCTATTCATACAAGTTTTATTTCTAGGATATACAGAGAATTCTAAAGCATTAATCCCATAATGACTCAATCAAAAATTAGGCAAATGAAATGAATAAGCAAGGACAAATGGCCAATAAATACATGAAAAAATAACAATCATCTTCAGCAATTAGGAAAGTGCTAATTACTACTACAACTCTTGACATTCTATCATATGCCAACCAGAATGACCATCATCAAAGACATAACAAACAAATACTGTCAAGGATGTGGGGAAGAAAAGAGCCTTTCCACATTTTGACAGAAAGGTTAACTAGTACAATCATTACAGAAATGAATATGGAAATTCCTTAATAAAAACTGAAAATAGAAATTCCATTTGACCCAGCTATACTTCTTCTTGGTATATTCTTTTCTTTCTCTTTCTTTTTTCTTTTTCTTTTTCTTGGTACTGTGGATCAAACTTAAGACCTTGTCCTTGCTAGGCAAGCACTTACATTGCTGAGCTATCTCCCCAGCCCCTCCTTGGTATATTCCTGACAGAGTTCAAGACACTATATTATAGTGATATACACATACTCATGTTGATAGCAACACAATTCAAAATAGCTATGTTCTGCAAATAGCCTAGATATCTACCAATAGAACTGATAAAATAATATAAATATACAATGAAATATTATTTTGCTATAAAGAAAAACAAAATCATGTCATTTTCAGGATAATGGATGGAACTCGAGATCATAACATCATAATGTTACATGTAATAACACACAAAAAGCTAGGTATCTCGTGGTTTCTCTTATGTGAGAAAACTAAAATATACATAAAAGAAAAAAGAGACATGATAGAAAACAAAAAGGTAGACCTATTTAGGACAGGGAAGGGGCTTAAAAGAAGTCTATGGGTAAAAGGATTGAAAATGATCAAGATATGTTACATACATGTACCAATTCATCACTATGAATAAATCCATTATGTGTTGTAAACATACACTTTACTGACCATATGACACAATGAACCAAAAACTTATAAACAAAAAAATTATTTTGCTTCAAATGTACAGATTCTAAGTTCTCAAAATAATCGAATTGCTCATAAGAGCAATGATTTCTTTTTTTATTTTAATTTTTTTTTTTTTTTTTCAGTAATGATTTCTTTTAGGGTTAGTTTAAGTAACAGATTAGAGGTAAAAAGTACCTTTTTCAATTCAACCACATACCCACGGAGGCTGAATCAGCAGCTTGTCAAAACATAGTAAATTACATGAACCTGATCATACAATATGAATTTTAGTTGTTGTAAAAGACTGAATTTATGGTGAGACTTAAACTTTTCTGCTTTGAATTAGTGAAAGAGTAAATGGTGGTGTTTTAACTTGAAAAACACTAAGAGGACAATGCTAATACAAACAGGTACAAGGGTCGGGGAGATGGCTCAGTGGAATAAGTGCTTCGCTGGCAAGCACAAGGGTCTGAGTTCAATCCCCGGTTCCACCAAAAAAAAAAAACAAAAAAACAAAAAAACAAACAACAAATACACAGGTACAATAATTTTTGGCAAGTCTGTGCAAAGGCAGAGATGTGGAGTAAAGTACCTTTAAAAGGAAATACAACAGGAGAATATTCCAAAATACAAAACCTTTCTTTAAAGGAATCAAAAACATGCAAATAGGCAATCTGGCGCTAGATGCCACCAACTGCACACACCTTACCTGTTTTCTGTCTCCAGTTCATTCTTGCGTAGATTTGCATCATCTAGTAGGCTCTGCAATAAGGCAATTTTTTCATTGTCGGAACCTTCTTGGTTAATTTTTAACATCTTATTCTCATGTTGAAGACGAATAAGTTTCTCCCTGAATAAGCAAAATGAAAACATTATCTGGCACATTAATATAGGTATTAAAGTCCAGCCGTATGCAGAGTAAATAAAAATAGAAAGGAAAAAGTATTAGCTATCAATTCTCCTTTATAAACAGCTAAAACATTACATTTCAGGTATTAAATTCATTTTTAGAATGGATAACCTACAAACAATAGTTATCGATGTCACAACTTACAATGAAGAAAATTTTAATCTTATTTCTCTCTTGATTTAAATATTTAAGCTACATATAAATGTAGTTTTCTTTGACTCTTTTTTTATTTTTTTTCTTTGACTCTTAAGATTTCTTTTTAAATTAAAAAAAATTTAGACTACAAAATAGTATTAGAACAGAAAAAATGATAAATGATACAGAATTTCACAAAACAAAATAATATGAATTGCACAGTATTTGTTGTATTACCAGTGTTGTCTTCAAATTAGTTGTTCAGATTATCAGACAAAAAAAAAATAAGATTTCTAGAGTTATGTTCTTCCATTTACCAACTATTTGCTGGCAAGATGTTTGCAATGTGGATTGTCTTTAAGCTATTCAGGAGCCAAGCATGATGATGAATACCTGTAGTCCCAGCACCTGGAAGGCTGAGGCATTACTACCCTGAGTTTGAAGCTATCCTGGGCTACAAAGTGAGTTCAAGGATATCCTAGAAACCCTGTCTCAAAAAAAGCAAAACACCAAGTTAAAGAAATGAAAAACAAAAGAGATCTATTATATCCATTCCTATAGTTATGGCAACTGTACCCTTATAACAAGTCCATTTATTAGAGTCAGATTAATGAATTTATTTTGGATTATTTGTGCTATGCCAAAATCCTATATATAGAGAGGGATGTTAAAAGCAAACAATACACAAAACATGGCATTACATTGACTGCAGGGAGGATATAATGGAATATCAGTGCATAGGAAGACACATTTATTAAAGATAAAAGTCACTGTTTTTTTTTTAATGTATTTAGTATAGGTTCTACAGGGTCTCACTACACAGATCGGCCTCATGGTGATCCTCCTGTTTTCAGCCTTTCAAGTGCTGGGATTACAGGCGTGGGTCACCATGCCCAGTCTCAATTGCTGTCTCAGTGCATTCTGGGGGCGGGGCTCACGGCATGTGGTACCAGGGATCAAATCCTAGCCCCTGCAATCTGCCTAAGCAGGCAATTTAGTCCACTTAGCTCTGGCCAGCCCCATTCTTTTCTTTACATAAGGCCAGCTTTAGAGGGCTCCATGAAGATAGCAGTACCAGATACTAGATACTGTACTATGAAAAACTATGCTTATTTTGAAAAAAAAATCAAAAGAAGCAGCATATATAAAAAAATGAGCCCTTATCTTGTAAGCACAATTGCACCCTCCCCTTTTGAGACAGTGTCTTGCTGTATATATTTCAGACTATCTTTGAATTTAGGGTAGTCCTCTTGCCTCAGCCTCTGAAGTGCTGGGATTACAAGTGTGTGTTACATTCAGCTTAAATACTTACAAAGCACTTTTACTTTTGTTATTGAAAAGATGAGTCAAATCTGTGATTCTTTTCAAGAAATTACACAGAATGTGCAATATTTTTAAGTGATATCTCCCAATTACAAAGTAAATATACTTATGATAGGGAAAAAGGATAATCATCTATCACTCTATAATGCAAGATAACTACTGCTGAAATATATCCTTCCAGTGCTATGCATACACACACACACACACACACACACACACACACACACGTAATCATCCTTTTTCTTGGGCTAGGGAAATGGCTCAGTAGAATAAGGGCTTCCCTGGCAAGCACAAGTGCCTGAGTTCAATCCCTGGTTCCGCAAAAAAAAAAAAAAAAAAAAAAAAAATAGAGGGTCTGCCCCTTAGTGTATAAGTGGCTGCTTCAACAAAGCAGTCAGGCTCAGGTTGCTGTGATTTGATCCCCACAACTCAAGCCAGGCAAACCTGCCCTGAAGGCATTTGCAGCCAAGCCCCCCCAAAAAAATTCCTTTTTCTGCGGTGCTAGAGATTGACCCCAGGACCTTCACACAGATCTATAGCCCTCATCCTTTTTTAAATTTTGAGACATGATTTCACTAAATTGCAAAGTTGCCCATGCTGGAAATGAACTTGTGATCTTCCTGCCTTTAGTTTCCCAAGTGCTGGGATTATCGACATTTACCAGCACACCTGGCTGCAAGCATCTATTAAAACAGTGGGTTCACATGTTCATGCTGCACTGGTATTTATGTTTATTTATTTATACTTTAATTTTTTTGTGGTACTGAGGATTGAACTCAGGATCTTGTGTGTATCAGGCAGACACTTATGCTTCTGAGCTCTATTCCTGGTCCTATATTTAAAATGAAGTTTCATAATGTTTTCATTTTGTTAACTATACTAGCAGGCCTACTCCCCAGGGCAGTAGTGTTCCCAGGGCTCTGCCAGTGTTAATGGTTAATCCATTCATAACATGATGGGTAGCTATCAGGAGATTGAAACTTCAGGAGGCGGATCCTGGCTAGAGGAAGTAGGTGATGAGAAGTGTGTACTGATGGGTGTATTGTCTCTGGTCTTTGCCTCCTTCTTCGTGCATCCCAGGGACACCATGGGGTAAGCAGCCCTTCTCCAGCATGTACTCTTCACCATGATGTTCAGCTTTGTCTCAGGCAAATACACTTTTCTTTCTTTTCTATTTTCCCTTTATCTATAAAATGTTTATCTCAGGTATTTTATCACAGTAAATATTAGCGGGCTAAACTAATACATTCAATTCCTGGGCATTTAGATGATCAATTTGGAGCTTTGCCAGGGCAATAATCAGCTTTTTAAATATATTTTTGTGGCTATTTTTGGCTACGTTCTTAGTATTTATCCCCCCTCCCAAGTGTGTTTTTTTGGTTAAAAGAAATATTTTTAGACCATAGATGAATTTCATTAATTGGCTTAAAGGAAAAGTTGTATTACTTTAATCTTTATCTCTAGTTTCAGAATTTCAACTTCTTGACATACTTTGTTTTAAACACAAGGTCTCACTATACAGTTCAGGCTGGCATTGAACCAACTATAGAGCCCAGATTGGCCTTGAGCTCATGGCAATTTCAGCCTCCCAAGTACTGGAATTACAGGTGCGGACCACCATACCCAGCATTTCCTCAACACTCTTAACATTAATAAGTAACAAACACTGACCCCCTGCTCATCATTTTACTTTTCTTGACAGCTTTTCTTGAGGATATTTTAATTTGTATTTAATCAAACATGGAACATTCTTGTTGAATCTCAGTTTTTTGCTTATTTTCACTTTTACAGTTTATAAAACTCTTACACAATCATTATTCAATTTAATATACAAATAATGTGAAGAATCAAGGTCAATGTCCATTTTTTTTTAAAGAGGTAAATGGGTCCAGAAAAGGTAAAAGCAATAGTCAGGATAAATCATCCTCTTAGAGTATAGTTGGTATTTTCCCCAACCTCATTTTCATTCATATACCAAAATAATGGAATGTTAAAAATGTTCTGACTAAATTAAAAAGCCAAGGTATTACTGAAAGAATAATTAAAGATGAGGCAGGCCCTCCTATTTATAGCAGCAATATATCTTTCTCAGGCCATTCCAAATATTTAGCAGATAAATGTTAGATTATTTTGCAGGCTCATAGCTAATTATATCTTTTGCCTTTGGGCTGTTATCTACCATTAAATGCTTGCTGGGGCTAGCCAAACACAGGAAGTATTAGTTTGTCTTGCATGTGTGAAGTGAGAAAATCAGTTCTCTGCTAGACCAAATGAAGAAACAGTAACTTGGAAATTTAACCCTGAGTTCGTGGTGACAGTGTCAGTACTAAGGAAGAATTGGTGCTCTTTACACTGCAGAGGATGGCTTTGTCTAGGGAGACCATGCAGTGAGTGAGGCTCTTTACCTGATTTCAGGTGTAACAATCTCTGCTGCCAAGCTGTCTGAAGATTCCTGACTGCCCAAAGGCATGAACCCTTCAAACAGACAAAAATGCAGGATTAACAGAAAGCACAACTATTTCCTTTAAAAAAGTAATACAATTTCAACAGGTAACAGCTAAAACAAATTTTCTCATGGAGAAGACTGTTACAACATTATTAAAGTTTATTTCCAACATTTATGTATAGAATTAAGAATATTCATAATGTTGTGTAACCATTGCCACCATCTATTTTCAAAGCTTTTCATTACCTAGTCAGAAAGTGTAACTATTAGGCCACAAGTGACTATTCTACCTTCCCCCATTCCAATGTAACTTGCCCTTTCATTTCAATAATCTGCCCATCCTAGCCACCTCACATAAGAGGAACAATACAGTCCTTTTGTGTCTTACTTACTTAACATGTTTTAAGGATTCACCCATGTTACACAGTATTTATTAGAAATTTATTATTTTTTATGGCAGAATAATAAGTATTATAGTATGGGGCACATGCAACACTTTGTTTATAAATTCATCTATGGACATTTGAGGTTTTTTTTAATCTTTTGGGTACTATAATATCTGATGATAGTATACATTTAGGAATGGAATTATTATATTATATGATAAATCTGTGTTTAACTTTTAGAGCTACCATATAGGTTTCTACAGAGCTGCCCCATTTCACATACCTACCAACAGCATACAACTGTCCCAATTCTTCACATCCACACCAATATTAATTTTCCTTTCCTTTTTTTTTTTTTTGAAGAGAAGAGGGCATTAGCTACCATAATTAATATTAATCAACATTTCATTGTGGCTTGATTTACATTTTCCTTATGGTAGTAATGTTACCTTTTCATGTGCTTATTGGCAATGAAATTCTGGGAAATTTTCTGTTCAAGTTCTTTGTGCATGTTTGAAATGAGTTTTGTAGTTGCTGAATTATAGAAATTATCCTTCATCAAATATGCTATTTGAAAAAAATTGCCTCCCATTTTTGCAGACTGCCTTCATTCTACTTGACAGTGTCCTTTGTTTGTTTTGGTTTTTTTTCCCCATAATTTTACTGATAAACAAATAGCAATGAGACAGTTTCAAACCAAATTGGTAGAACAGTTTCAATAATTAAAACATTGCATACATTAATTGCTGCACAAGATGCGGACATGATATCCTATTTACAAACACCATTAGAACAAATCACTCTATTTATTAAGAGAATGTAACTATATATCCATCCTAACCACTTTCAATACACAGATACAAAATGGACATTCATCTGTATGCCCTTTTTTTGTTAAGTTCCGTTATTTGAATATTATAGGTGTGTAAACTCAGTAAAATATTCTAAAAGAGTCCAGTAGCCCATAATAGTATTGGGCCTTCCGCTTCACTAGCAATGTCAGAAATTATTGACCTGAGTCCCCTACAGCTCAACAGAACAGCATGGCTTTATCCTACACTTCGTTTTTATACTTTTCTGCTGGATGGTTAAGACCAAGGTGAAGCAGGACCTGTGCAACAAGAGTTGTAGCTTTTGGGTCGTCAGTGAAATCCCCTGAGGATTTATCCTGAGATCCTGTACCTCAGATTGTAGAACCTTTGTCAGTGTCAGCCATGTGGATGGGTCATGGCCATTGCTTGGCCAATGTGCTCTCTGTGAAAGTCTGAATGTTTTCTCTCCAGTGACTCTCCTTAGGCACACTCTACATCATCGATCACTTTCCTCTTTGGCCCCATAATCTCCTTGATCAGAAAATTTGGGACACTACTGAGTTACATGACGTTACAGTACAGGTTCTCATATGTCCTGAGTCTTAATTGACCTTAGAAGCCTAGGGCCAAAATGTTGGCTTTCTTTGCAGCCCTCCTTTTTCTCTAATTTTGGTCTGCACACTTAGGTTGTTAACCATCCAGAAGACAAGCTTATTTTTATTACCATACAACTTAGGCTGTTAAGCTTAACCTCACTATCTGTCTGCATATCAAACATTTTAGGCATAACAGAGTGTCCTCTGATACACCAAGTTTTCACTTTTGATAACATCTTAATTTTCTTTTGGTGCCCTATGCTTTTGGTATCAGTTCTACAGAATCACTACCAAATTTGTGATGTCATTAAGATTTTCCTCTGAAGGTTTAATAGTCTTAGCTCTCATATTTAGGACCTTGATTCACTTTGAGTTAATTTTTATACATGATAAAAGGGCCCAGCTTTATTTTTTCCATATTTGATATGCAAAATATGCATTCCCTCTTTTGTTTTTTTTTTTTGGTCTCTTTTCTAGTTGCTTTGGTTAGAAATCACAGTATGAGGTAGATAAAAGTGGTGATAATGGGCATCTCTTTTATTCCTGATCTTGGAGGAAAGCAAGCAGTCTTTTACCATTGATCATGATTTTAGCTAAAGGTTTTTTTCATGTATATCACATTGAGGAAATGTTCTTTTCTCCCTAGATTGAATTTTTAAAATTAGGAGAAAGTGTTGGATTTTGGCAAGTGCCTTTTCTGAATCAACTGAGTTGTTCAAGTGTGTGTTTTTCTCTATTAATCTAGTATATTACTTTGACTTTATATCTATCCATGTGCAAGTACCATGGTGTTTCTTTTAAAGCAGTTCTATAGTACATTTTGAAATCAGAATGTGTGAAAATTCTCCATCCTGGCTCCTTTGTGTTTTCACATAAATTTTAGGATCAGCTTATTAATCTTCCACAAGATACTCTGCTAGAGCTTTTGTCTGGGATTGCACTGAATCTTGCAATACCCAAATATTAAGGAAAGTCTCTCTGGTTACAACTGTATTTTATGGGCTTAAAAACAATTTTTTAAAAGATTGTATTTTAATTGATCTCAGCAGTATTTCATAGTATATAATGTACAAATTTTGCATTTCTCTGTTGCTAAACTTAAGCATTTTACCTCTTTTCTTTTGTGATGTTGAGGACTGCATTAATGGCTTCACACATTACTCAAGTGCTCTGAGCTCTACTTGCAGTCCCCAGTATCTTTTATACTATTTTATTTTTCACAATGTTTATTACTAATACAGAGAAACAAATCCCCAGCTATGCAAAAAAAAAAAAAAAAAACACACACACACACACACACACACTCAGAAGTAGATCTTCTGCCATCATGCTGAACAGACAAGGTGAACATCTTTGCCTTTTATGATCTGCAGGAAAAGTACTGTTTTTCATCATTAAATGTAAGATTTGTTATATAGGGTTTTCACAGATACTCTTTACTAGAGATTGAAGAAGTTTCTTTCAGTTTCTAGCTTGCTGAGTAAGTTTATCACCTATTTTTCTAACCTGATACACACATCTGTCCATGGTAGGCATATACAAATGAATGAGAATGCCATTCCTATAGCACTTAACTTTTGGGTTGTTTTAAATTTCATTATTTCAAATAATTCTGTAAATCATTAAGGTAAATTTCTGGAACAAAACTACTGGTCAAGAGATACATACACTCCTGGACATGATGGCACATGTCTGCAACCTCAATACTTGGGAGTCTGAGGCCGGAGCATTGCTGTGAGTTTGAGGCCAACCTGTGCTGCACAGTGAGTTGAAGGTCAGCCTAAATTATATAACAAGACTCAATAGAAGAGGTTTTAGGCAGCAAAGAAACAAATATTGAGAGCTTGTTTTCTTGATAAAATAAGCTATGAGCAAAAGCGTGCTAAGTTTTAGCTTAGAATCTTAAAATTTTGGGAAAAAATTACATAGATTTGATTACAGATAAATGAAATAAACACCAAGGAACAAAAAGGATTCAATTATAATAAATGTACATGTTTAGTGAAAAAAATCAAGAAAGATATAATTTTGTTTTACTGGCTTTAGTAATTTGGAATAGAGAAAACCTTTAAGCTAGCTGAATTAGGCTTTTACATGCTTGTCTATGAATACGTCAAAAGGATAAGGACATAGAATAGTAATGAGAACACAGTTAAACAGCTGATATGCAGACTGGGTAAGCTGGAAGAGAAGGCCAGATAAGAGCTAACAGGCTTCAAAGAGGAAGACAGAAACTAAAACGCCACAGGGACCAGGTTCCATCCCTAGCATGTCATGCTGGCCCTGCCCCCAGAGCACACTGAGACTGGACTGAGACTGAGTGTGGTGGCACATGCCTATAATTCTAGCGCTTGGGAGGCTGACAACAGGAGGATCACTACGAGTCCAATCTGTGTAATGAGACCCTGTAGACTCTGTACTCAACACAGAAACTAGAAGGCAGATGACAAGGTTTTTTAGAAGGCGTGCTGAGAAGGAAATGAAGGTTGTGGTCATGGGAAAAGAAAAATTAGTTTCAGGTAATTGGAAAGACTGCAGGCATGCAGTCACGCATCAATCTCCCACAGTCTACAACAGGAGGACAAAGTGGACCGGCACACTTCACACACAGTGGTAATCTTGCCCTGTGCTGAAGAACAGTTTCTGGACCCGAGCCGCTAAACGTATTATAAGCCACTCTATTTCTCTTATGTGAAAAAAAGCCTTACTAATTTAGAAAGTTTAATTTATGTTTCAAGTGGTCCCGAGATGTTTTTATGAATATAATTTTCTACATTATCAAAGGTAAATTAGGGGCCAGGGAGATAGCTCAGTGGAATAAGCACCTGTCTGGCAAGTATAATGTCCTGAGTTCAATCCCTGGTACAACAACAACCAAAAAAAGGTAAATTAATAAACACATTTTATTTAATAAAGCTCAAATGTTAATACATTTGTTTTTTTTTTTTTAATTTTTTTTATTTGTTTATTTAGTGTGTGTGTGTCCAGCTCAGCCCAGCAGGGGGCGGGGCTGGCTGGCATGTGGTGCTGGGGGATTGAACCCTGGTCCCTGTGCTTTGCTAAGCTTGTTCTAAGTAGGTGCTTTAGACCACTGAGCCATCTCACCAGCCCCAATACATTTGTTTTTATAAAGTTGGCAAATAAATCTAATAAAAACTAGAATCTGTCATAAAATCTGGGAAACAGCTCAAAAATGTTATTTCCTCTAATTTTTCATTTTTATCTGGTTAGGTAATCATCCAAAAGTGACCCTAATGCTTGTACTGATCTCAGAAATAAAGCACGTTTAGATTACTAAAATGTTTTACCTTGTGCTGTGAGCTGTCCTTCTTGAGCCTGTACACAACGAAGCTCTTCAATGGTTTCTTTAAGCGAGTCCCTTTCTGTTCTTAACCTCTGACAGACAAAGAAAAGTACATTAGCTTTGAGTTATATGAATACAGTTATATGAATACAGTCACATGGGCCTTAGCCAATAAAACAATAAATAACAGTGAAAATGAGTGTGGTTTACCTTTGGATCTTTTATGGAAAGTTCACAGAAGGACAAAAAAGATTTTTTATTTAACTTAACATTAGTCAACTACTGCAAGGTAATATATTAGCAATGGCTAAACATAAACAACAAAGCTATCTACTACATCCTTCACATTCTTTTCATTAAACATAAAAGGATAAAAATGAAATACACCAAACCACAAAACAAAAAGAAAAACCTTAAAAAGATCTAAAATATGGACACTAAGAAGAAGTATCCTCTATATTAATTCTTAGAAAACAAAAAGACTACCTAAATTTACAGAAAGTCAAGAATGTAAAAAAAAAAAAAATACAATGTAAAAGAGTAGCATGAGTAGAAAAGATAAACATGCACTAAAAAATTCAGAGTGAAAGTAAAAATATTCTTTCTCATCTTTTAGATATGTTTCTGAAGCAAAGAGAAATTAATTTTAAAATAAACAGAATCTCTAATTTTAAAAAACTGATGAAATTAATGTAGTCAAAACATGAGTTAATTCACTGTCTTAATCTTAGTAGCACCAAACAAATAGACCTATAATGTATAAAATACTCACATCCTTTTCTTTTTGAAGACTGTCAACTTTTTCTTTCAGACGTTTATATTCAAAATCTAATTTATCTGCTTTCTTTGATTCTTCAGATAATCTATTTTGTAGTTCTACTACCTGGTACAGAAAGATAATGTTAATTTTTATGATTTGAAACATTAGAAATTACCCTGTAGAAGCTGGGAGTTTAGCTTAATGGTACAGCTTGTGCACGAACTCCTGGGTTTTATCCCTAGCACTGTCCCTCTTCCCAATACATAATATTTTCTTTGACATGTCTGTGAAAACATCCTCATCATATGCAAATAAATGAATATGATCCACCAGCTTAATATAATGGAGAGAACTAGGAATCAAAATCTGCCTACATACCACAGGCTCCTAAATCATAATCATCTAGAGTAACAACACTGAAACTATAAATCTGTAGGACTTTTATTTCCAACAATACAGTAACTGGGTAGTCTGAAACTCTCAATATTAGAAGGAAAAAGAAAAAGAAGGGAAGGAGGGAAAAAATGAGGGAAGGAGAAAGGAAGGAGATCCCACGAGAGGGAAATCCAATCACATAGCTAAAGTCAAAACAGACAAAAACTTAAGTAGGAGATGAAGTTCCCTCAGAAGTTATGGGTGCCATGACAGCAGCTGTGTTTAACAGGAACCCTGAGCTCTGAGTCAACAGGAATCAAGTGGGTATCAAACCTCAATGGGCTATAAAAGGTGCCGAGGCTGTAAACAGGTGGGTAGGGGGTGGGGAGGAATCTGCTAGCAAGATAAACTGGATTTAAAAGAACCTAGCTTAGAAACTTGTATCCATCAGTTAATACATGGATCTGTGTTTGAACTTTTCTTATTTGTCTTGTCCAGAAAACCTAACCAAACAATTAAAATGGTCCTGGTTGGTATAGAAAACTTGTCTTTAAGCAAACACATATATTTTCTGGACAAACCAAATCTCAATGCAGTACCCCCACGGTTCCACAGGATAAAGATGAGCCAATGACAAAATGACAAAGGCCACAATTTTATTTTTTATTTTTGTTTTTTTTTCCTTTTTTTTTTTTTTTGGTGGAAGCAGGGATTGAACTGAGGCCCTTCTCCTTGCCAGGGAAGTGCTTATTCTACTGAGTTATCTCCCCTGCTCCCAAGGCCACAATTTTAAATAGGTATAATAAATAAAAATCAGCAAAAACATTAACAGTATCAACAGTAAAATAGCAGAATAATATCTGTAAGATTTTCAAATTGGAGTTATACAAAATATATATATTTTAGATTTAATACTTGAAAAATAAAAAAATCTAAACTATAAAATCAAAAGACAAGTAAGAATAACTAGAGAGGTTTTAAAGAGGATACAAAGAGAATTCATAGGAAAATACTTTAAAATTATCATAAAAAAGTATATTAAGTATCAGGTCAGAAACAGTATATCATGTACTTTCACTACAATTATTTCTATATGTAGGTTTCTTTTTATTTCTAAATCTGATTTGTACTGAAAAACGTTCAGCCATCTTTTCCTCCATATAATGCTTTCCTTGCTGGACAAGGTGGCACATATTTGTATCCCAGGTATGTGGAAGACTGAGGCAGGAAAAACATAAGGAAAGAAAAAAAAAAACAAAAACGAAGGCTGGAAGGGTGGGTGGATGGCAGGCAAGCAAGGATATAACTCAGCATTCAGAACCACAAAAAACATTTTCTTCTAATCAATTCTTCCTGTTCCCTCTTCAGGAACACTCATCAGACCATTCTTCATTTTATATTTCATTAAAAAATATAATTTATAAGCCAGTTGTGGTGGCATACACCTATAATCCCAGAACTAAAAAAGGTAGGTAGGAGCATTGATTTGAATTTGAGACCAGCCTGGGCTACAAAGTGAGCTCAAGGCCAGCCTAAATTGCACAGAAAGACTCTGTCTCAAAAAGATAGATAACAATAATAATAATAAAATAAAACAATAGTTTTTTTCAGTTTGTATTTTTTTTAGGTAAGTTCTCAGTCCTTATTTAAGTCCATTAAACTTTCCAACTTTGCTCAATATTTGAAAATTTTCTCCTAAAGTAATGAGGAAAAACCATCTCCACTGAAAATATTGGCACCCATTCATGATATTGGCTCAGGGCTGCTGTACTAAAACATTAAGAATTAGAAACTTTCAGTTCGACACAAATTCTTTCTGAGAATGGTAAAAGAGAAACCACTCCCAATATCAGTTTATTAAGGTAATGTAAGTTCCAGAACAATACCAGATACGGAAGGCACGTGAAGTAGAAAACAGCGAGTTACAGGGGCAAAGTGTCCTAAATGAGTATGGTGGCAAACGTATAATCCCAGCTAACTGGTAGGCTGAGTCAGAAAGACCACTTGAGGCTGGTGAGGGCAACTAAGGGAGGGCAACCCTACCTCAAAATAAAAAAAGAAAAAGGATGTGTAGCCTAGTGGTGAAATGCCTTGGTCCAGTCCCTAGTGACTAATACACATACACAGACCCCTAAAAATTTAGAAGTAACAAGTAAATGCACGGTGACCATGCTAAATTTGTTTTAGGACTGTAATGATGGTTTGAAGATCTATTATAACCATATTAATAGAAAAGAGAAGCATTAAGATTCTTCCAACAGATACAGAAATAAGTATTAAATCAAACATCTATTAAAGGTAGAAATTTTAAATAAGGAATACAAAAGACCCTCAGGAAAAAATATGATAAAAATTATTATTAAAAAATGTTTTTGGAATCAGGGTCTCATTTTGCAGTTCAGTTTGGCCTTAAATTCATACCAATACTCCTGTCTCTGCATGTTGAATGCCAGGATTACAGGTGTGTGCCACCAGGCCGGGAGTGATAAAAAATTATTAAATATATAAAAAACTAAAATAAGAGAAATCATTCCATTTAAAAAATGAGTCAAAGAAAAAAACAGGAGATTTGCAAAAGAGATATGGTTAGTAAATACATTCTGAGGAATGCACAACATTTTATATTCAGCTAACTAGAAAAACTCAGCAGTTTTGCTGATGATGAAGGGAGAAAAGAATTAATAAAAAGACAACATTAGAATACAATCACTCTAAAAAAAAAAGAATACAATCACTCTGGAAACAAACTGGTAATATTTAATTACAGCACAGATATTCTAAAGAAAACTTTCACACACACACAGACAGAGGACATCCCACCCACCCACTAACACACACACACACACACACACACACAGGGCTGATTATTACTGTATAGGTTCTTCAGCCTTAAAATAAGTACATTTCTGATAGTCACTCAGTGAGATGTTGTATGCAAGGAAAATGAATAGGATAAAGCTATGCCTATCAACATAAATGAATCTCATAATACACTACTGTAGAAAAACAGTGAACTATATATTTTCACTGAATCATTTATATGTTTTGAAATGTCAAAATCTTATACATTTTTAAGGATGAATATGTAGAGAGTAAAAATATAAACAGATCTATGGGAAGGAAAATCTAAAAACAGCCCCAGTTACCTGTGCACAGAGGACAGCATGTTTCACTTGTATAGCATGTGCTTCCTGTGTTATTTTACTGTATATTTCCGTATTGCAGTACAAATTTAAATATTGGAAAAAAAAAAAAGGATCTCCTGTACAGGGCCCAATCAATACCCTTCGTATAAGACATACATTTAAATCTCTTTATATGTAAATAAAATAGAAGTAAATCTAATAAAAAGTTAAAAGCTGTGAAGTCAAGTCAGGAGCATTCTGACAAACTCAGTGTGTGTGCGCATATGTGTGTGTGTGTGTGGGGGGTGCTGCTGCTGCTGCAGCATCCCTCATGAAGAACATGGCTTTTGCTCTTACCTGTCTCTTATATGTCTCAAGTTGACTTCGAGCTGCATTGGCCTTTCTTAACTCTTCCTCTAGACTAACAGTGTTCTGCATATACATAGTATTTTTCTCTTCTAAGAGTTTAACCTGACGTCTCAAATCACCAAGATCTTCTAGCTTCTTTTTATAAGATTCCACCTGACCTTCTAGTTTAGATACTTTATCAGAAGAATGTCTAGAATGAGATGGGAAATTAAAAATTAGACACATCCACAATTGTAAAGCTGTTTGAGACAGTCTTAAACCCAGATAGATCACCAGGAAACAAGTTCAAATGAAACTACAAGATGAAAGGAGACTCCAGGTTAATTTTTTATTCATTTATTAAGAAAAAGGACCAAAATTACAGCAAAATATATCAAGAATGTTACATAATCTAAGAAAAGTTAAGCAGCAAGAGGTAACCAGCAGAATCACATTTAGCACAAGAGTACAATAAAATCTGTAGAGTTTGTTGATTTACCAAAAAGTATGTCATTAGGTCACAGCAAAGAGCCTTTGGTGAAGAAGTGGAAAATAAGCAGTGGCAAATTTTAGGGATCTAAGAAGAGAATGTGAATTTTATGTGATCTAAGTTTTGTTCTCTAATGAAGAGAGTAGTCTTTTATTAATATTGAAGAGACAGATTATGTGTGTGTGTGTGTGTGTGTGTATTCAAGATGAAAAGAAAAATGATCATTAACATACCATAGTCTCTAAGTATGGTCTGAGACCCCCAATAGTAAAGCCAGTATTAATCCTGAATAGATGGAAGAATAACAGTTCTGTCTTCTAGAGACAAAAAAGATGCGCAAGAGTTGAGGGAAGTTCAGAGAAACATGAAACAAGGGCCATGGAGAGTTCAACAGGTCACAGGCTCTTTTCTGTGAGCAACTAGCAACAGGATTATCTACTGAGACTAAAGCATGAGGTGGTGTGTGGTGTGTGGGCAGAGATGTGGGAAGAGTTGTAAGAACACTTAATATCAATGAGAGCACAGAGAACAATGTACTGATACATAGCAGAAAGGCAGGCTGGAGGCAGAATCTAGTGATGAGATCATTAATTTATAGCAGGACAGGGCTGGCCTGATAACTCAGTGGACTAAAGTGCCTGCTTAGGCAGAGCACAGTGGCCGGGGTTCTATCCCTGACATGCTGAGCCAGCCCTGCCTGTGGGGCACGTTGAGACAGGATTAAGACTGGGTGTGGCGGTGTGCGCCTATAATCCCAGCACTTGGGAGGCTGAGTACAGGAGAATCACAACAAGTTCAATTTTTGTAGTGAGACCCTGTCACCCCATAGACTCTGTCCTAAAAACAGAAAAAATTATAGCAGGACAAAACTGTATCACTCTATGATTCTCTGTACATTTTCAGTTATCAAAATGTGGAAAACAGACATGGCTGGAGAAATTCAACAGAGGACAATGGGACAGTGACAGGTAAGCATTGAGGTGCTTGAGAGAATAGTGACAAAATGAGTGTCCAGCAAGGAAATGAACCCTTATGATGTGATGTAAACTAACATCTAAGAAAAACAGACCAAGGGCTTGGAAGGTTCAGAATTAAACGTCAGGGTAGTAACTTACAAGTTGCAAAACCATGTTTAATTACAGGTTAATTTCCATTTAACAAATACATAATGGATGTGCTAAATCATTCCAGGTATTTACAAATATAAATTCACTTGATTCCTCATATAAACCTAAGGTTAGTATGTATGTCTTGCATTTTATAGATGTGCAAATGGCTGCAGAGAAGTTAAATAAATGGTGCCTCTGAACCCAGGTGATTTGGCTCTGAAAGATGTTCTGAGAGCCGTCTTACTATAATAGAACTACTTTGCCTGTGAACCCACAGAAAGGAAAGACTGCTTACCTCAGAACATCTATTTCATCCTTTAGAGATTGGGCTTCATCAGCTAAAGCAGTTAGCTCATCATTCTGCTGCCGAAGTTCAGAGATCTCTTTTTCTAACTCTTCACAGCGTATTCGATAATCATCTTTGGCTGCTTCTAGTCTAAAGCCAAAAGCAGATAGATCAAGAAAATAGTACTTACTGTCTCAGAGTTTTCTTCAGAACAGTAAAATAAAACAAAAACATGAAATATAGAAATAAATTTTTGGTGAACATGTCTGTGAATTTGTGGCCGCAAGATGTATTCCCAAGTCATAACTTTACCAAAAGGATTCCCTGGTCCTAAGATTTGGAAAAGGTCACAACTGGTGACCATTCTACTGATGAAAAGCTAGACACCGAAACTGTTCCACAATACTGCAGATAAATTGAAAGATTTATTTCTTAATTATGGAATTAAAATACATTCCTTAAAAATCTGTAAAACTTAGAAAATATAATATAAATCATATATTAATCTAGATAAATAAGTACTATTAACATTTTGGAAATGCATCCTCCAGTCTCACTTTGGTTGATATTTTTCCCCAAAACATGAGTAATACTATTCCTACCTCTAATTAAACGGATTTGTTTAATTAACATATACATTTTCTTTGATTTACAAGTCTTATCATCTCTTCTTTCACCTTACACAGTTAATTATTTACTTCAACCTTGGCCCTTTTAAAATTTTGAGACAAGGTCTATATTACTACACTTGATCTTAGCCAAAAGGCCAAGAAGCGATGACAAGGTCTATATTAAGTTGTCCAGGTTAGCTTTGAACTTGCGATCCTCCTACCTCAACCTCATGACTACCTATGTATATGCCATTATACCCAGCCTAATATATAGAGTTCTGGATGTTATGTAGTTCAACTGATTAATCTTACATTTTAGAGTTTCTGCTTTTAGTGTACAATTAGTTTTCACCTCTCTCTCTTTTTTTTCTGGCGGAAATGGGGATTGAACTCAGGCCCTTACGCTTGCCAGGCACACACTTATTCTACTGAGCCATCTCCCCGGCCCCTTTTCTTCTCTTAATCCTACACTTTGTTAGCACTTCTACTGGGTTCACTTTTGAAGTTTTTAATTTCCCTACAGTTCTTTTTAGTATATGATAAAATGCTGGAATCTAACTTTTCTTGCCAAATAGCTACCCTAAATCATTTACCAAACAAATGGAACTCTTGTCAGTTAAAAAATAATACCTTCATTATATCAGGCATTTCAGTATGTTTAGATATGAGTTTGTGTCACTGATTTGTCTTTTACTGCACCAGTTCTAAACTAAAAAAGATGAGCCAAAATCATTATATTTAATTATATCAAGACTAGTTAATACAAAATACTTAACTGTACAGTAATGATAAAATACTTGAGGCACTTCAAAATATAGTATTACAAAACATATTCTGAAATATTAATAGCATAAACCACTGTGTCTTTAATAAAGAAAAATGTAATTTCCTAAGCCATTTAAAAATAAGCCACAATTTAGAAAAGGTATAAAGTCAGGCTTGGATCTTATCCACTGAATCTCTTTCACAAAGTTAAGATGAAGACAGTGTCCTCAAACTTTCTGGTTTGAGGGCCCTTATGTGCTCAGAATTACTGAGAACCATAAAGTACTTTTAGTTGTGCAGGTTTTAACCTATTGATATTGTCATATTAGAATTAAAACACTTAAATATATTTACTTAATTCATTTGAAAATATAGTAAGAAATCCATTATGTTTATACATACATAGTATACAAAAATACATTTTATAAAGCTAAGAAGTGAGATGGGTGGCACTGATTCACACTGTTGTGATTTATAACTGGCTTAGCAGAACACAGCTGGGTTCTCCTGTTTCTGTATTCATGTGGTACAACATTTTGCTTTTTGCTAAAATAAAGAAAATTCACCCTTGCACAAGTATGCAGTTGGAAGAAAAGGCCTTGAAGACTCTGAAGCAATCTAAAAGAACCGCCAGGGTCCTTGAAATCACATTTTGAACTATTGATGTAGACTATAGGCAACGAACTTTCTAATGTTTCTGAGAAGACTAAGTTCTTCCGTCCTTTTCTCCCCTTTTTATTTTTTAAATTTTAAGCTTTCTTGGTCTGTAATTACCTAGAAGTCCTAATATTACCCTTTATTTTTTTGGAGACAAGGTCTCACTATGCAGTTTAGGCTGGTCTCCAACTCACTGTGATCTTCCTGTCTCAGCCTCCCATATATTAGGATCACAGGCATGCACTACCGTAACTGACCCTAATGCTACATTCTTAACTTTTAAATTTATTAAAAGTTACCAAATGTTTTAAGATTAGATTTTAATAAGCTTTTACCTAAATGTTTCTTCTTGTAGTTGTTCTAATTGAGTCTGGAGCTGCAAATGTCTTCTTCCTGCTGGACTGTTGGGATCTTCAATAGAATCAGACTGATTAAGCCTTTCCATTAGTATTTGATTTTCTGCCAATAAGCTACTCTTTTCCTCTTGCAATGCTGCAACCTGTTGGGATACAGAAAGTCAGCAGTTATTCCATCCAGTTATTCTGGCATCAGCTCAATCCCTAAAGGAATACAATCACCTCCACGTAACACATTTACATTATTCTGGAATACTGCACATGCACAGCAAGCAAGAGTTCGTTCATTTATTTTGAGGAGGGATCTTGCTATGTTGCCCAGGTGCATCAAACTGTGATGTCTCAAGGTATCTTCCTGCCCCAGCATCTGAAGTAGTAAGGATTTCAGGTGCATGCCAAGACATCTGGCTTTATTTAACATTAGAAAAGACACTTTACTAAAGATTTACAGATAGCAACTAAGCACAAAGGAAGATAATCTGCACTGGTTACTAAGCAAATGCAAATCCAACCACAAAATTATCATTGGAATTTCACTACAATGGATAGAGTTAAAAGTACAGATTATACTATACCGGGTGTGGGCAAAGATGAGAACAAATGTCAGACTCAAACACTTCTTATGAGAGTATAAAATATTTCAAACATGGAAAATAGCTCAGCAGTTTCCTGAAAAACTAATGTGTAACTACCATATGATTTATCTAGCCATTCTACTCCTAGGTATTTATGCCAGAGAAATAAAAACACATACTTACACAATGACTTTTTAGGAAAAAATCAAAAGGTTTCAGTAACTTTATAACAAAAATAGCCCAAAAGTTTAGGAGGTAAATGGATAAGCAAATTGTAGTATACCTATCTGATAAAATACTATTTGGCAATAAAAAACTTTAAATATTGACACTGATAGCATGGATAAATCTCAAAACAAAATCAAACCATTGCATGATTTCTCTTAATACAATTCTAGGAAATGCAAGCTAATTTGCAGTAACAGAACAGAACTGGGGACTCTGCACAAAGACAAGAAACTTCTTAAGAGTGACGGTTTCACTATATTAACTGTGGCAATCATTTCACACATTCATATGTAAATCAAAATGTGTCAAAACTATATGTTAAACATGAGTTTACTATATAACAATTTTTTTTTTTTTTTTTTTTTTTTGCGGAACCGGGGATTAGAACTAGGGCCCTTGCATTTGCCAGGGAAACACTTATTCCACTGAACCATCTCCCTATCCCCTATAACAATTATATGTCAATAAGGTAAAACACACATTGTCAGCTATTCCTAAGTCTCCTTCCTCAATCTCCATTTTCTCTTGAACATGTTCTAGTTGGGCTGTTGGCCCCAACATTTCACTGTTCTTTATGATCATCAATGACTCCCATCATTAAGACAACACTGACATGACCAAAATTCCTTTTGAAGCATTTTCTTCCCCTGGCTTCCAGGACACATTACCCTCCTGCATTCTGTGTACAGTGTACAATGCACTGTTTTTACCTTATACTCCTGAGTTGATTCCTTTGTCTAGAGTTTTTCTTTTCTAAGCATACTGACAGCTTCCAGTTGCCTGGGTGTAAACATCATCTATTTCTAGCCTAAAACACTGAAGTGAAGATCATTTTAACTCACATGTCCAACAGGCATCTTATATTTAGATTTTCCAAGTGGAACATTATTTTAAAAAATGATATACAGCAATTATACATACATTTAGGGTACAGTTCATGTGATATCTTCATACTAATGTAATATGTAAGGATCAAAATAGGGTAATTAGTATATTTACCATCTCAAATTTTAAAGTCTTTGTATTAGAAACATTCAAAATTTTCTTCTAGCTATTTTTATTTGTTTATTTATTTTTTTGAGGGCGAGGCTGGTGCATCATGTGGTGTCAGGCATCGAACTGAGGTCTCCTGCACCTGCCTAAGTTTACCTAAGCAGGTGCTTTAGACCACTAAGCTATCTTGCTGGTCCTCTTCTAGCTATTTTTAAGTTTTAAGTTAACAATTAGGTACTGTTAACTATAATCCCCCAATGACTTTGCACATTACTTGGTCTTTACAGACATATATGAAGCCTCTAGACTAACTGCCTCTTCCTGTATGTTTGCACCCTCCTTTATACTATTGCCATCTTCATCTTGGTGGTTTCTGAATTTACCATGTGGGTGCAAAGGCTCTACTTACCTTGTGATTCTCTTCGCCTAGAAAACTTGCTACCCAAACTTCCTCAGGATTTTACTAATCTATCACATTCTCATGGGGGCCTATGTTGACAACCCAACTGAAAATACATTCTCCTCACTCTGTATTCTTTAAGTTAATCTTCTGTGCTTTACTAATTGATTCACTGACCTCAGTTACTGGGACTGTACTGATTTCTGTTTATTTCATCCTTCCTTCTCACTGACCTTTTCTTTTTTGTGGTACTAGAGGTTGAAGCTAGGCCCTTTGCACAAAGCTACATTCCTAGATCTTTTTTATTTTTTATTCCGAGACAGGGTCTCCACTACCAATGTGCCCAGGCTTAGCTTAAACTTATGATCCTGCTGCTTTAGCCTCCCAGATCGTGTTTTTCTTTAGAATGCATTATCATCACATAACATACTATTTTATTTATCACTTGTTTTCTTTAATTGAATGCAAGTACTTTGGGGTCAGAAATGTTTTATCTATTTCTGTGTGTTTCTCCCTTTCTTAGCTATATCTACAGCAATTAGAACAGTACATAACACATGGTGGGTGTACAATGAATGTTGCTAAATAAATCTGAAATGTCAGCTCTACACTTGTTAAGTTTCTCTGAGCTATACCCCCAGCTTCCCAACACTCATCTCTTTGCTACTAATGTCTAAGGTTAACTGTATACTGGTCAGAAATATGATCTACATCAAAGATTCTTCAAATTTAATTAAGAATCAATGTTACATTTGAGGTTATCAGGCCTAGCATGTATAAGACTCGAGATTCAATTTTAGCCCTAGAAAGAAAAAAAACAAAAACAAAACAAAAAGACTAGCTAATATTGCTTAAATATTTTAATACATATTCCAGAAATCATGCTATATATATACAAAAAGGAGACTAATCCTAAAAACACATAAACATTATTCATGAAAATAATTGAAAATAAAATTTAAAAAAAATCAAACAAGGCCAAGGAGCATATAATCAAAAGTAACAATGTTGCTCTTTTCCATCTTGCAAGATGGCTGGTGAAAAAACTGAGAAGCCAGACCCTAAGAAGAAACCTGAAGCCAAGAAGGGTGCTGCCAGTGGTACTGATAGAAAAGGTAAGGTAAAGGCAAAAAAGTCCAAGGAGCAGCCTCACTGCAGCCAAAATCCTGTCCTGGTTAGAGGAATTGGTAGATACTTCCGATCTGCTATGTACTCCAGAAAGGCTTTGTATAAGAGAAAGAAAATCAAAGATGGATAAGAAAAAGGAGAAAGTTCTTACTATGATCACAAAACCAGTCAGTGGTGACAAGAATGGAGGTACACAGGTGGTTAAGCTTTGAAAAACGCCTGGATACTACCCTATTGAAGAGGTGCCCGGAAAGCTCTTGAGCCACAGCAAGAAACTCTTCAGTCAGCATGTGTGGAAACTTCAAGTTGGTATCACTCCCAGCACCATCTTGATCATCCTTACCGGGCATTAAGGAGGCAAGAGAGTGGTCTTTCCGAAGCAGTTGGCCAGTGGCTTGCTACTTCTGACTAGGCCTCTTAGCCTTAATGTGTTCCTCCATGAAGAACACATCAGAAATTTGTCATTGCCCCTCTACAAAAAACTGGTTTCAGCAAAATGAGAATCCCCAAACACCTCACTGATGCTTACTTCAAGAAGCAACAGCTGTGGAAACCCAGACACCAGGAAGGTGAGATCTTTGACACTGAGAAAGAGATATACCAGATTTCAGAGCAGCACAAGGTGGATCACCAGAAAGTGAAGGACTCATGGAGTTTAGCAAAAATCAAAGCTATTCCTCAGCTCTGGGGCTGTGATCCATTTTTGCTCTGACAAATGGAATTTTTCCTTGTAAATTAGTGTTCTAAATTTCTTACTAATAACCTAATTTTAAAAAGTAACAATGTCTGAGTTTTCCCACTCCTCAAAATTTGCTTTCAAGTATTCCTAACATGACAGCTTTTGGCTTTTATATTGGTTAGTATTTACATTTCTGGAGTAAAATACCAAAAATTAAAGGACAGGTCTTTTCTGGCTCATTTTCAGCTCACAGTAAACTGGCTCGAGGCAGAAACATACCAGTGAAGTGAAGCTACCTTTGTGGTGGCCTGGGAGCAGAGCACAGGAGAAGACGAACACAGCAAAAGGGGGCCAGGGACAACATATTGCCCCCAAAGCCATGTTCTCATGATCCACCAGACACATTTCTATGTGCACTATTTGAAGACAATCATGCTGACAACAAAGATTAAGCATCGCAGTTATTACTTTGTATCTCTAGATGTTATATACTATTGTTTCTAGATTTATCAACATCAGACATTTTCTAGTGACTCAGTCTTCTGATATGTTACATTATAGCAAGCTGAGTCTTCCACCCTACCACAAATACACTTCTATCATGATTTATACCTCAATGACCTATTGACTCACTTCATTCAATCACACACCATCCATGCTTTCCCTCACTCAGATACGCCCTGTGTGCCTGCTGCAGGTGGAACACTAAAGCACTTTGCTAGGTACAAGGGATGGCAGAATAAATAAAGCACAAAATCCTACTCCTACATGCAACATATTCAAAACAAATATAATAAACAAACATACACATAGAAATCTTATAAAACCAAACAGTGAATTAATACATGCAAAAACTAGAAGAAAAAATGCTGTGCAGAGGATTAGAATAGGACACTGGCCAACCATATAAATTCTCTTGTGGTATGTGGGACATGTAAGTCCCTGATAAATATTTTATGACAAATCAGCTGACTTTGAGCTCAGATTGGCTCACAGGGAGGAAGAGCCTTCCAAGTAATGACTGCTGTACTAGAGAATAGTTCTTGACCTTCCTTGATGGGAGAGGATGTCAGCAGCTCTCTCTTGATTGCATCTATCCTGTCCCATTCTATTTCTCAGCCTCTGTCATTTGTACCTTTTCGATTACATTTGTGTGGGGAGTTGGTACATGTACATAACACACTGTGGGCTTTTTTTTTTTTTTTTTTTAAATGCATTTGGTATAGAGTCTTACTACACAGCTTGGACTTATAGTGATAGTGATCCTGTTTTCAGACTCCCCAGTGCTGGGATTACATATGTGCACCACCACGCCCAGTATGGGTGGCTGGCTTAATGTGTTTGGGGTATAGGAGTCAGGTGTGTGGAGGGGTTGTGGCATGCTGGGGATTGAACTCTGGTCCCTGCATTGGCCTAAGCAGGCACTTAGTCCTCTGTGCTATCTTGCCGCCCTTGCCTTTTGGTTTTTGAGAAGTTGGTGAAGGCTGTGTCCTGAAGCTATCTATAGCCAAACTGTTAAATATTGAAAATCATGCAAATTGGCAATTAACCACCAGTAACTTGAATGTGCACTGTTAAAAGAGTATTTCTACAATAGAAACTGGTAAATCCACAAAAGACTCCACAAATCTGGTCCTCTTTTAAATCTTCCTTGCTGTTCTTAGAAGTCAATTTACTAGCATACTCTGAAGACATGTGCGGATCTCTCTACTGTTTTTTTCCCTTGTAGGTTTGCACCATTTTAATGCATTTTAAACCTAACTGGTTGCCAAAAAGAACAGAAATTAACATTTTTAACTTTTTTTCCCTTTAACCAAAACCTATTTTTCCTATTTATAAAAAAAAGCGGCATCATCTGCTATACTATAAAGCAGTGCATAGTACAATTGGTGGTACTTGTGATGGTTTACAGAACAGACCTCTTACCTGCATATCCAACTCATGGCATCTTTGAGCAATTTCTTCCTTTGCTGATAAAGCTTCATTCAGTTCCTCTGTAGTTTTCTTCAACTGATGAAATGGAGATACTTAATAATTACAAATAATTACACATGCGGCTCCAACATAGAATTAAAAAATTTCCCTCTTTGTATTATTAAGGTGGTGGTAAAAGGAGAAATAAGGATATTTTCTGTAAGACTCAGAAGAAATGTTTGATTTCTATGGATCACATTAAACAGAGGGAATCTGTTCCTATACATGATATATCACTGAATAAAGATGAATGATCTGGGACCACATACAAAACAGATAATATAATGTATATAAACAACAAAACCTGTTTTGAATTTCTTTTTCTTTGCTTTTTTTGAGGCAACAAGGTCTTATTATTAGTCTAGGGTGGCCTTGAACTCACTATGTAGGCCGCGCTGGCCTCAACCTTGTGGTGATTATCCTTCTTCAGTCTCCCAAATGCTGAGACTACAGGTTTGTGCCACCATATCCAGTTTAACTTTGAATTTCTTGAAGCCCTTAATTTTAACATTTTTATCCTTTGAATTTACATCATTACAAGCTTTCTTGCACATTGTCATCTACTTGGACTACTGGCTCTTCCTAATGGTGGTTCTTCTATTTTTGTTTTTTGAGCCTAGCCTTGAACTCACTATCCAGTCCAGGCTGACTGCAAACACGCAGTGATCTTCCTGCCTCAGGTTCTGAGTGCTGAGATTATAGGTATGCGCCACCACACCAGGCTTATTGATTCTTTTAATAAATGAGAAGTTTACTTTGGTAAATGATATGACAGATGAGCAGGGCTTTCAAATGCTAAAATATATAGCTAGGACACTTCAATACAAACTTTTTTTTAGACATGTTAAACCTTTAAGCTAATTTGCCTAATTTTTTTCCATAATTTTATTGAGAAATCGCAATGACACAGTTTCAAATCAAATTGGTAGGACAGTTTCAATAATTAACACATTGCATACTCTCTTCCTGGTGGTTATTTGCTGTACAAGATGCAGACATGATATCCTATTTACAAACACTATTACAACAAATCCTTCTATTCATTAACAGAATGTAACTATATATCTAACCTAAGCATTTTGAATATAGATACAAAATGGACATTCATCTGTATCCCCTTTTTTGTTTAGTTCCGTCATTTGAATATTATAGGTGTGTGAATTCAGCAAAATATGCTAAAAGAGTCCAGTAGTCCATAATAGTATTGAGTCTTTTGCTTGACTGGCAAGGTCAGAAATTGTTGACCTGAGTCCCCTACAGCTCAACATAACAGCATGGCTTTATCCTACACTTCGTTTTTATACTTTTCTGCTGGATGGTTGAGACCAAGATAAAGCAATACCTATGCAACAAGAGTTGTAGTTTTTGGATCTGATAAGGTCAGTCAAATCCCCTCAGGATTTATCCTGAGACCCTGTACCTCAGATTGTAGATTCTTTGTCAGTGTCAGTCATGTGGATGAATCATGGCCATTGCTTGGCCAATGTGCTCTCTGTGAAAGCCTGAGAGAATGTTTTCTCTCCATGTGACTCTCCTTAGGCACACTCTACATCAT